GAAGAGACATGCCGACAATCTCCTGATCAGTCATCTCGTGGACACGCTTCTCGGCAATCATCTTCTCAAGTTGGGCAATGGTGCGCTGCTCGACGGGGGTAGCGGGTTTACCAGACTTGGCCTCGGACTCGTCGTCGGTCTCCGCGGGTGTAGCAGGCCTGGGCGTCTCGGGAATGTACTCGCCAAGGGGCAAGGTGGCCGAATCAGTATCGTTAAACTTCTCGGCGCGAGCGAGCTCCTTGGGGTCGATCTGGTGGTCGGGAACGTTGGGGTCCTTGATACCCCAGCGAGCAGCGTTGAAGAGGTAGCCGTTCAGGGCAACACTCATGGCGAGGGCAACAATGATCCACTTGGAGAGAACGGGGTCCTCGAGACTCTTCAGGATACTGCCAACCATGCGGCCACCCATGCCATAGCTCTCGAAAGTATCGTACTCATCCTCGTGCTTCTGGCCAGACTTGCTAGCCGGAGAAGGAAGCGCGTAGTGGATGGAGGGGTACTCAAGCTCGTACTTGATGGGTGTAAGGACAGTGACAACGGTGGGGCGCTCGTTCGCCTTTGCTGATTCCAAAATGGCATCAAGGCCGTTCGAGGCAACCTTGAAGGGGTCGACAGGAGGAGCAGTGACAACGGCGCTGAGGCCGCCAGTCAGGGAAGACAAGCTGGGGAGAGAGCTAGAGTTACGGAATGGGATGGTGCAGATGTTGATGGCGTTGATCAGGACGAAACCGCTGACCATAAGCACCTTAAATTTGGGAACGTTGCTGCTCTTCATCTGCTTGCCGAACAAAGAAGTCTCCTTGGGGGCCTTGCCGTCGAATTCGGGCCAATCGTTGCTCTTGGCCACGTTCTCGGCCACGCGGTGGCTGACGCCGTCGTCTTCAAGGGCGCGGCGCATCTGAACGTGGCGCTTGATGCGGTTGATCTCGAGCTTGATGCTCAGGATGGCGGTATAGAAAGAGAAGAGAAGAATGCAGTCGAAGAAGAGAATCCAGGCGGCGAGGAAGCAGAACTGCTGAAGACCACCCTGGACGCCGGAGGCAGCACCGAGAACGAGGATGCCGATCTCAATGGCGTAATCCTTGACAATGTCGTATCCCTTCTCCTTGATGGCTGCCTGGACAGCGTATTGGATGACGTTGGGGGATGACACGTCGGACTTCTTGCTAGACTTTCTGTCGTCCTTGTTCTCTTGCGGCCGGCGGTGCTCAACGGCGTGCGACAGCACGGCACGGGTAAGAATGATGTTCTTCTCGAATCCAATGGTCACAACCAAGAATGGCAGGCCCTCGGAGAGCAGCACCATCGTGATGGGGACACCGAGCTTGGTAGTAACAAGCAGACCAAACAGGAAGGCGAAGACGGAGGAGAAGAGGACGTTGGTGAAGAGCCAGAAGTTGGAGCCCATGCGGCGCATGGAGAGGAAGAGCGAGACAAAGGTCAGGTGCATGGACAGGTAGCCGAGGACCATGATGAAGATGTCGAGAGCCTCGGCGTTCTTGAGCAGGTCGAGGAACTCTGTCCAGCCATTGCGAGCCCACTGAACCAGACTGTTGCGGGTGTGGACTTTGGCAGCCTTCATAATCCACATCTTCTTCTCCTTGCCGTGCATTGTCTCGGTTTCGTCGCTGGTGGCATCGGGAATTTCCTGGGCTACTGACAGAAACTCGGCAGCTTGGGAGTAGGGCACGGCAAAGGCGAGAGCGCTGTCCTGGGAGTAGGTGGTCAGGGAGTTGGAGGTCGAAGGAAGCGAGGTGATGGACAGGTTCTGGGGAATCGGGACGGCGTGGGTGCGCGGAGCAGTGTTGATCGACTCGGGAGACTGAGACTCGGGGAAGACGAGGGTCAGGAGGGCCTGGTGGTCGACTTCACCGGCGATGGAGGCCTCGGGCTCGACATTCTGCCATTTCCAGGCAGTTTCGGGGCCGGCCTGCAGGCGTCGGCTGCCCTCGACGAGGGACGACCAGTCGGCGGTGCGAACGCTGATGGTGGCATCGAACAAGCTCTCCTGCAGCAATCCAACGTAGGAAGTGCTGGCCAAAACCGCAACAATGACAACGGTGTGGATAGGGTGCGAGCAGGCGAGCTTGGACAGGAACTTTAGAGCGGTTGTGATCTTTTTGTTGACCCAGGAGGGGGCAGCGGCCTGAGCGGCGGGCTGCTCACCCCGAAAACGGCGGGGGAGAAGTGTTGAGGATATCATGGCGAAAGTTGCGGTGAATCAAGATCGTCTATTAGAAGGAAGGCATTGGTGTACAACGACCGAAGAGAAGAGGACGAAGGCGGAGTCTGTTTGTTGCGATTAGCGATTGAAGGGCTTTCGGTAGGCAAACAAGAGGCGATTGTGCGCGAAAAGACGCGGAGGGGTGGTTGGTGTCTCTGGTGGGAGAGAGAGAGACAGAGAGAGAGAGAGAGCGATGGGCTGGCTGGAATTTGGGTTGAGGAATTTTGGCGACGGAGATGAGATGGGATTGTGTGGGATGCGCGCTGTGCTGCGGTGTGGTGCAATGCCGATTGGAGGGGTGAGAATGGACGTACCTGTTGAGCCAACGCCGTTGACGTCGTTTTGGAGTTTAGATTTTGCAGCAAAAGTGCCTCAAAAGCTCAAACTCGTCGAACACACGAGAGAGGGGGAGAGAAGTTTTCGAAAGAGGTCGGCAAGTGAGCAAAATAAAATTAATAGGTGGTTGCGAAAGGTGTCGGAGATCGAGGGTGGTGGTCGCGGAGAGCCGAAGTCGCAAGGAGCTGTTGAAGTGCTCGAATCGGAGACGGGAGTGGATTGCTCAGTTCCTGTTGAAGAGGATGCCTTGCAAAAGGGGTGGGGGAGGAAGATCGCTCAGAAGGGGAGAGGAACAAGAAGGGTGTTCAAGAGTCGTGATGCAACGGGCAGCCCAGGTACCTTTTAAAGATATGGAGACCACCACGGTAGGTGTCCGTAGTGTACACAAGTGGCGTAGCGGGGGGACGAGGATCAAGAGAGTAGAGAAACAGACAGGATAAGACCTTGTGCTTAAAGGAGCAACAACGTAAGGTGCCTTACTTTGAGATGAGAGAGGTGTGAAGGATAAGATAGGAGAGAGGCACGAGAAGATAGGAGCGAGCTTAAGCAATGGTTCGTGTTCCTCCCACCTTAACTTACCCGGGTACCTTTACAGTAAGGTAAGGTAGGAAATAGTGGTGGGCAAGGAGGTGTGCAGGGAATAACAACACAGAAAATAAGATCAAAAAACCAAAAAGAGAGTTGCCAGACACCCGGATGCTTGTCAATGGCACAGCGAACAGAGGGAACGAGCAGACGGGTGAGGTGCTCAAGGTACTTGTTGTTTTGCGACGAACTCCGTACAAAAGAAAGTATCGCGAGGATCCACTTTAGGACAGAAAGTGAAATGATGGTAATCCCAGCAACATGTTGGCGCAAGTTGCAAGGTTTTTTTTTTTTTTTTTTTTTTTTTTTTTTTTTTTGGTGGTGGGCAATGATGATGAGCAGTGCCAGCCATGGGATGGCCATTCTGGGCCAAAGAGGAACACTGCAAAGGGAAAAAAAAAAAAGTGATGAATTGGACAAGGGTAGAAGCTACGTACCTCATGGCGGCCCCACCAAAGGCAAATTTACCGATGATGGTCCGCGCCGATGTACCGCGGTACTCTCAGACGTACAATCGCAGAGCTAATCCCAAAACAGCAGAACACCCCGTCGTATTATCACGCCGAAGCAGATGCACACAGGGTGCTCTTATTGTGCCCGCCATAGATTCGTGAGCTTCAACTCTCCTGTTACTTTGGTTCAAGGGTCTCTTCGGGGTCGGGAAGACGTTGGGCGTGGCGGATGGTGCGCCCGTCCGTCACCTCCCATCCGTGGCAGCAGACAGCCTGTTGTCATCCGCTAGAGCATCTCGCGCAGTGTTGGGAAAGGCTAGGCGGGCACTAAAGGCTTCCATCGTCACTAACGTCTGTGCCTTGTACGTCTTAACTTTGGCAAAGTGCGAATATCCAGAGCCAACCTAACAAGCGCAGTAAGGTGGTAGCGAATGTGTCATAGGGAGCCACAGCACGGCCTAGCTGCAGACGACGCACCCGCACGGATGGCGCGTCACGTCTCATCCACTCGTTGCTCTTCGCTATAATGTGCCATAATGTGTGGCTCTGCTGTTAGTCTCTGCGAGTTTTCGGTCAGAGGAAACTAGGTAAACATGTCATCGGAGAAGCACGAGTGGGAAAACTTCGCTCTGAAGAATAGATCAACAGCCGAGACCTAGCTAAATCAGCCTCAAGTGCAGTTTGCTCGACTTGAAAGGTGTGCTGTTTGCTCGATGATCTGAATGTTTGCTTCCCAATCGTACCCATCTTATCGGCTTATCAGGCCTCATTGAGACATGCAGCACGCCTCACTTCCAAATCGGATAAGCTGATAAGGCACCTCGAGATCAGCCACCCGACGTTTATTCGTAAGGTATCTTGCCGTTGAAAACCTTACAGATACCTAGATGCCTATTTCCAATGGAAGTCTGACATTACCCTTGGTACTAGACTGAAGCCTGTTGTAAACTTGTAAGACTCTCAAACTTCCAAGAGCACCGCCGCCCGGCCGCCGCGTCATACCTACAGAAACGGGACCTGATGCGACAATTCTTCAGCTGCTGTGCCCCCAAAGAGACGGCGGAAGCAAGGTAGGTAGGGTGACCACAGACGCAGCAGGGACGGCGGTAAGGCGCCGTTCGGTGCCTTGGATGTGTCGAGAGCCAGGCGGGTTGCAGTAAGGTACATGTGCGCCGTGCGTCGTGCGTCCTTCTGCGTGGTCAACTCGCTTCTGGAAGGCAACCTTTCGTGGATGAAATACCTTACCACGCTTACCTTCAGGTACGTTGAGGTGAGAGAAACGTGGAACTGCATACCTTGAACTGAAGGTGAAACCTGAGCTCAGATGAATATGCTGAAGGGTGTATCACTGGGCGTAGTTTCCTACTTCTTTTTCTTATCCTCCGTAACTAAGGTAGGTAAGGTAAGGTAGTCGCAGGTGCACCTCAGTGCCTTCCTCGATATAGGTATAGAAGGAAAGAGATACCTGGAGTCTTCCTTCCAGTTCCAAGTCGAACGGAAATTGACACCATAAAATGTCCCGATTGGGATTGGCGGCTTTGATTGGAATTGCGGTGGGTCTCCCGCTCCTGCAGCAGTGCAACGATGGTGGATGGCTTCTTCCTGCTGCTTTTCGTTGGCACTGCATTTCTCTTGCATTTCTTCTCGACTTTCTTCCCAATTCCGTCGGGTTACCTACAAAACAGTTCAATTCAAATCCGTTCATGCATCAACTTCGCATTACGTTATAACTGTGCCGCATGAGCCTCACCTGCGGCATCTTACTGCCGGTACGAAAGATTGACTCTGCTCAAATTCCTACCTCAGTCTCACCATTCGCAAGACCCCTTGTCGAAAACTCTTCCGTCCCCTGCCAGCCTCCCCAGATGGAGAAATGCCCCTCGACATGGACATTCATCTAGATTCCAATACCCAGACGGGAGACAAGAGACGTTTCTCTGCCCTCTCCCAGCCCTCTCAAAGTCTCTAGCCTCTCTCGGACTATCCCCTCTTGCTGGCGGCGGGCCTGATCTGATATGATATGATGGAATGCCCCCTGCCCACTCAACTTGAATCCCCCCTCCTCCCGGTCCTTTTTCATGTTATCTTGACGTTTCCGGACCTTGGTGGGCATCAGCGGGTACAGCCCGGCGGTGAAGCTCCAGTCACGGTTAAAGGTTCGTCGCCAACGTCCATCAACGTCAGATCTGTGCAGCGAACCCCTGGCGATCTCCCTGTATTTTTCTTGCCTTATTCCCCGTCTTTGTTTCTTACCTGGCACCCACGCACCTCAAGCCTTGTCAGTGGTCTCCTCACTGGCTCCCCGAAAGTATGCGCCTGCATAGACCAGCTGAAGGTCCCGAGTCTGCCCTTCCCCCTGGGCCTTACTGCTCTATCGCGGGGCCACGGATCCCTCGCGACCCGCCACTATCCAAGCATTGCTGACCACGTCGACGGCACAGCGAGTCCTTGTCACACAAGACGAACGCAGTAGAGTTTCTACGAATACCCTATGGATACTCCATGCTGCCAGTCTACTCTGCTCACTCGCTGTTACGAACCAAGTCCGAAGAATAGGCAAGCTACTTTGATAGCGGCCGTTGACAAGCTACAATAGCAATAGCCTTACTAAACGCAAGGAGACAATCTCTATCTCAGATATGACGACAAAGAGGAGAGCATGTTGCACGGATACACGGCCATTTCATCCTTGCCAAACTACACGAGCTCTCACGCCGCCTTGAGCTATCCATACCTTACATACGAAGACAGCACCTTTGTCGCCGGGAAAGGGCTGTATCAATGCATGTGCCCAAGGTATACACCACTGAAGCTGATGCTGGTAAACCCAGCTCGGCGGTTCCCCAAACGCCGTCAGTCTTTGAAACAACAGGTATCCCCAACTCATCGCATAACCTATCTTGGAGGGAACACGGGAGCATCGTTGGCCTCTGCTCTGGAGTTTTCAGTGTCAAAGATATCAGACGGCTTTGGAGTACAACGTTGATCGGCCCCTCATCCCCGTCCAACCGCTCCAACCCTACGGACCTCCGGGCCCTCCATGCTGATAATCTTGACTCCGCTGGCCTCCAGGGCGCCCTTGCACTCGTCCCATTTCTCAGCGTCCACCGGCCTGGTGCCCTCTTCCACAATGAAGATCCGGAATCCCTCCTTCTGGGCATCCAGCGCGGTGCACTTGACACAGTAATCACCAGCCAGACCGACCACGTAGACGTCCGTGACGCCCTTGTCCTTGAGAGAGGCCGCAAGCCCGCTGTCGGACACTCTGGGTGACTGGAAGGGGTCGTAAAAGACGCTGTACATCTCAACGTCCTTATTCTGGCCCTTTTCGATAATGGCGTCTACGGCCGAGGCGTCTAGCTCCGGCACCAGGGCTGCGCCGGGCGTACCCTGTACGCAGTGCACTGGCCACAGCCGGGTATGGAACGTCTCGGCGCTGTTTCGCGGGTTGACGATATCGATGGCATCGACAAAGGGTTGCTTGCCATCGTGGTTCGATGCGAACGAGATGTGGTCTTGCGGATGCCAGTCTTTGGTGGCGATTTTGGTCGTGAATGGTAGGCGCAGTAGTGAGTTGACAACGGGATGAATGTCGCGGCCGTTGGTTACGGCAAGTGAGCCATTCTCGCGCCGATATTAGTCTCGTATGTCCATTCTAGCACCCGGAGCTCACGGTTTGAAGCTTCACGCCGCGAATGGGCCATGACGTGACGAACGCGGATGTGCGACGTTCATCCAAGTTACTTACAGGCGGGCAAAAGTCTTCTTGAAAGTCAACGACGATCAGCGCTGGTCTGAACAGGTCCTCGGACATGGTGGCTGATGGTTAGCACCGTGGCACCTAGCCGCTTGCCGTGGTTTTTGGAGGGCTGTCGAAACGACTCGTTCTGGCTGTGTGGCTGGGCAGATGAACGAGTCAAGTGTCGACCAGTCAAAGTATTTGAAGCGTCCTAGACTCGACAGTGTGTTGGTGGCTTATAAGATATCGTGTGTCGCGTGCTGCGCCTCTAGGCAGAGGGGTAGATGGGTGCGCAATCCGTGATGGCATCAATGATAACGTCAGCTTTCTTCGCCTGCTTATCGCCAATGGCGGGGAATCACTGGAGTAGTGGAAAACATGGCCTGCGATGAGTGAGTCTAGGGGTCCTTGCAGCCAAATTACAGGCTTTGGGACGCTATTGGCAGGCGTAAATTGCGGCAGTCTGATCTGCAGTAGCTGTTCAAACTTGAAGGACTCTGAGGTACCTTAAGGTAGGTAGGTACTGAGGTATCTTATCGGGCAGTCTTGGGTCTACCTTACCTTAGGTAAGGTGGCTTATCTTATCTCCTCTCATCGTGATTAGGTAAGGTAGGCCCACAGACTGGCATGACACCCAAACGTGCCAAAGCAACCACACTGCGGGTTCCATCTCCAACTCCGACCCCAAAGTGCGATGCAACCACAAGATCAACACCTCTCAGCGTGACTCGCTCGCTCGCTCTAGATTATCCCCTGATCCTATCTCTGCTCTAAGTCGAGCAGGAACTCGTCCCTCGCAGCTTGTCACACTCATACACCACATAATCGGCCTATGGTGCCAGGTGCCAGGAGCCATGTTGTTGTGAAGGACCCCTGCCATGTCCCGAGCATTCCTACGTGCCAGGACGCAGGCACTGGGAGTCTGGTAATGGAGGGCATCAATGCGCCACCCTCCAACAGCTGAAGCTGAGCCAAGCCCGCCTCGGCAATGTCAGCACTCCAGCACGTCCAGTGTGTCACTCTGTCTAGGTACCCTCTAGGAATCCTGGCCCCAAGAGCTTGTCTCGCCCTCTGCGGTCCACCAGCGGCTGATGGCGCCAACCATCCACCAGGGCCCCCCCACGGGGATCTCAACGATCACCCAGAGGCAGACGAGGTGCTCGATGTCGACGCTGCCCATTGGCTTGTGGCCGAAGCTGTGAGACATTGGTTGGCATCTTGGGTATTTGCTGAATGATCTGACGGCTACCACAAACGCTGGCCAACACTTCGAGGTCCAGTTGTAGCAGGCAAGGCAGGATGGCTACAGACTGCGGGTACAGAGTACATCCTCGGCAAATGGCATCGTTTGAGTCAAGCATCTGCGTGCCAGAATGCTCCCCCGGGCCGTCGGTGGAGATTCGAGCTCGGCCGGGACAGCTGCTTCGGTACGCAGTTGGGCACTCAGTTTACCAGTTCATTCACCCTGACAATCGTTTCCCAAATATCCTCAGCTCGCCGATCGAGACGTCATCTGCATCCAATGTTCAATGGGTTCTCAGATACAGGCCAACCGGCAGATGCTGGCACCACGCTGGCACGACTGGCACGTAAATCTCTCAGCTGTCCACACCTCGCCAGCATCAAAGCCCTCGCCCCAGAGCTCCTCTCGAGCTGAGTCGTGAACAGAGAGCTCCTGTTCCGATTCTAGGCCTGCGTCTCAGCCCTGTTGTTCTCCTCTCCAATCAAAAACACCAAATGGCCGTTCAACTACGGAAGTCTCCGAGAGCTGCTGCCGCCGTGTCTCGACGCGCCACATCAGACGGCAGCCAGCCACTTCAGAGGTGACAGCCCAATAGTGCGATGCAACGGGTTAGCTTGTCGCACAGGTCACTCGCTGGAGGGGGAACGGCGATATCTGATAAGAGCTCCAAGCTCCGCGTTTGCGTCGCAGGTTGCTAAACAACTGACAACGCTCTTGCACATACAGCATCTACCCAACTGAGGATGCGTCTCTCTACTATTCTCTTGGCTGCGGTCGTCAGACCGGTCGTTTCTTGGGGCAATGTCGGTCACCGAACCGTCGGGTACCTCGCTGAGAAATACTTGACTGATGAAGCTGCCGCCATCTACGGGGACCTGCTCGCCAACGATCGCAACTATGACTTCTCCGATGCTGCGACTTGGGCTGATACGCTCAGAGGCCACATGGGCTGGGCAAGCAAGTATCACTACATCAGTACGAATCCCATCCCTTGGCCATGGCATAGCCACGACCACAAGATCAGAATGCTCACAATTTGCCAGATCCCCGCGACGACCCCCCTAACATGTGCGGCATGAAGTACCCTCAAGACTGCCCATCCAGCGGCTGCATCATATCCGCCATCACAAACTACGTATGTACCACCCTTGTATCGCAGCAATCATCAAAACTGACCTCCTCGGACCAGACTTCTCAAATCCTCGATACGAGCCTCCCGCATATTGACCGCAAGAACGCGACAATGTTTGTAATACACTTCCTGGGCGACATCCATCAGCCCCTGCACGCCACAGGTCTCCTCCGCGGCGGCAACGACATCCGGCCCGTCTGCTGGCGCCGCCAGCCCAACCACGGCGTCTGCAACGGCCCCATGAGTCTGCACTCCGTCTGGGATACCCAGATTCCGCACCGCATTCGCGGTCTGCCGCCGCACCTGAGCATCCCGCAAGAGAAGGTTGCCGCCGCCTCATGGGCAGCTGACCTCTATCAACGCCAAGAGCAGGCGGGTGTCAACGCGACGGCCGGGCAGTGCATCGATCTCAAGACGGGTTCGTGTGCATTAGGCTGGGCCACGGAGTCGAACGCGTATGTCTGTTCGCACGTGCTGAAGAAGGGCCTGGCTTGGTTGAAGTCGAATGACCTCAGCGAGGGGTACTTTGATGAGAACTGGGAAGTCGTCGATGAGGTGATTGGGAAGGCGGGCGTGAGGTTGGGGGCGTGGTTGAACGCCATTGCCGAGAGATTGTCTGCTGAGCAGAAGGATCCTGTGTTTGAAGATCTTTGAAGAATCAAACGGGCTTGGTCGCTGGGCATGATGTCCAGGCTAGACAGCATTATCTGAGGGCGATACTTGGCGGGATCTGATTTCCTGCCAAGCGCCGACTTGAATTTTACTCCCATATCATGTGCAACAGGCTATAATTAGGAATAGAAAGAACTTCATCGTGGAACACATCATTTAGCCTCTTCTCGATTCCTGCAGGACCTGAGAATGCGCAGCTCTTGACTTGCATTTCTCAAGACCTGTGATTGTAGCCAACTTGAGGCGGTGCCCAGTAGCCTGTTAACCAAAACAGATATGGGCAGCAACGCTTGATCCTTGATGGCATTGAGAAACGATGAGAGCTTGACTCTTGAACAGCATCTCATTATATTCATTCCTGTGGCGTTGGTGGTTATCACTTCTGCCTTCCATATAATTGAGCCACCACTGATCGTTCTTTACTCCTATGTCGTGGCTGTAGGTATTAAAATCGTCCCGAGCCAAGATTCGGTAAACGACGAATAATCTTAAGCTTTTACTAAATTTTCTCTCACCTCCCTAGACTGGTCAACTTGAGGAAAGCTCACGTTGATCAGAGCAAACAGACTCATGAGACCTAAGCCCCATGGACCGGCTGTTACCACAGGCCGTCATCTTCGGTACATTTTCATCTCTCCTATCAGATGCACCAGCAAACTAAAGTGCCGGCCGAGGCGTCGTACACAAGGTGGCCAATGTCACTTCAGAAACCAGTTGTCGGGATTCAAAGTTGGAGTCGATGGGTTGAACGCGGGGTCGACAGGCATTTCGCAGGATGCTTCGGCCAAGTTGATGTTTTGTCGATTAGTGATTACTTACATGCAGTGGTGAATCTGCCGAGGCTCCCTCCGCGAACTGTAGACGGAAGACATATAAGTAGAATAACAGAAACTGATGACAGTCGCTGTTTACGTTGCATATTTGACGGCACTTTCGTTTCACAGTAAAATCATCAGCACTCATAGAACAGATACGCAAGAACAATGGCATCATCCCCAAACAAGCTGCCCGAATCATACACCTCGTTCAATTACGATGGCCTACTCGTCTCTCATGTGCCAGCGAGCTCCTTATCCGTCACAAAGGTCATCATGATCACCCTCAACCGGCCCAAAAAGTACAACGCCATGAAGGGAGACATGTTCACCGGCCTCGAGGCGATCTTCAACACCGTCAGCGAGGACCCGCGGGTACGCGCGGTCGTCATCACAGGGGCAGGCAAGGCGTTCTCGGGAGGCGCGGACCTGGATGTTGGGTTTATGGGCATGGTGGCCCTCAAAGAGACGGAGGAATCAATGAGGGATTTCAGGGATTGGTGAGACTTACCTGATGTCAAAGCCAGAGGAACAGTGATCCCGTAGAATGTTTGACGTGATATCTGGGCTGATGCATACTTCACTCTTCACACAGGGGCGGACGCGTCGCGTTAGCAATCTCAAACTGCAAGAAACCCACCATCGCCGCCGTCAACGGCCCAGCCGCGGGCGTCGGTTTGACCATGATCCTCCCGGCCACGATCCGGGTAGCCTACGAGGGCGCCCGATGCGGCTTCCCCTTTTCCAGGCGCGGCCTCGTCCTCGAATCCTGTAGCGCCTTCTTCCTCCCGCGTCTCATCGGCCTCTCGCGCGCCAACCACGTCGTGGCGACGGGGGACATGTATCCCGTCACGGATCCGCTTGTCAGCGGGCTGTTTTCAACGTTTCTGGGTTCGCCGGGGGAGACAGTGGAGTACGCGGTAAAAGTGGCGGAGGATCTGGCGGAGAATACATCGTTGGTGAGTGGTAAGTTGATGAGGGATATGATGGTGTATTGTCCGGCTTCGCCTGAGGGAGCGCACGTGTTGGATTCGAGGGTGTTTGTGCAGCTTGCTGGGACAGAGGATAATGTTGAGGGGGTGAAGAGTTTCTTGGAGAGGAGGAAGCCTGAGTTTACGGGGTCTGTTGATCGGTCGAGTGTTCCGTTTTGGCCTTGGTGGGATAGGGATGATGGACGCTTTGTGAGGCAATTGCAGAAGACTGCGAAGCTTTGACGAGAGGCTGTGATGAATGAGGGGGGGGGGGTAGTGAGGGAGGGAGGGATGAGAGTGAGATCGAGTCAGTGATGAGAGTGAGTTAGGATATATCGTGTGATCCGTTGTACTTGGGTAAGATAACTAAATTGAATTGACAGCCGGAATTGGAACTCCCTATACATATCTGAGCAGCCATGTACACCTGCACTCGAGCGTGACCAAATCGATAATGGGGGGATCTTTGCATTGAGTTAGCGTAGACTAGAGGTTCAACAAGTTCGTGATACGACTACTCACATGAAGAGCAGTTTATCTCAGGTTCCAAACCTCCCAGCTGTGGTCCAAAACTTCACTCTTCACTTTTCAGTCATTCGACACTCTCTCGTCGTGATGAAGGTGAGAATAGAGCGACACGCTCGTATTAACATGTGAGCGCACGAGGTGTGACAGGCGTCGTCCAGCGCATCCGCTAACGATTTAAGCACCGTGACACCCTAGTTCCGATCTTTAGGATCTTCTTGGGGGTGGATCCCCCGGATCGATCGCTAGTTGCTCCATGGGCGGCGCAGTGGGCGCAAGTGAACAACAAAGAGGAGCTTTGCGGGTGGTGACCTCATTAAACTCAATGTCACAGCGTCATAGACGCCAAAGCTACACATTCCTCGTCCCATATTTGACCCGCACGCGTCCGCTTGCCAGCTGGGATGTCCGTTCTGATGTGATGGGATAACGAATCTATCCTCTAACATTGATGGCATCTCAGGATCCCAATCGTGACCTTGAGCAAAACGGCTCCAAAACCATGTCGCAAAACGGAAATACAGGCAAGGATGGGCGGAAGAGGGTCCTCGTTGTCGGCGCCGGTGCCGCTGGGTAAGTCAAGCAATGGGGACGAATTATTAGCATTCGCAAGGCAAAAGACTCATATGTTGTAGTATGTCGACAGCCTACCATCTGTCGAACCACCCGGACAAGTTCGATGTGACCCTGATCGACTCGGTCGATTACTGCGGAGGGCAGGCCTTTTCGATGCCCATCAACAAGGAGCGACACGGCGCGAGCTGGTTCAACCAGGGTGTACAGGGCGGCAGCTACATCTTCCACCACACGCTGACCATGTTCGCCCGCCAAGGCTACCACGCGGATCCCGTCAAACTTCAAGTCTCTTTCGGCAAGGACGACAAGTTCTGGACCAATGTCTTCCCTACCGAGTTCATCGAGAAGCATCAGGCCGAAGTCCGCAGATTGGCTTTCATGCTCAAAATCATGAGGTGGTTTGAAGTGTTTTTTGCACTTCTGCCATTGAAAATTGTCTTCAAGCTGTTCCGATTCTCGGACGAGTTCACAAACGTCGTGGGATTGCCCATGACTGCTCTTTTCCTTGGTACCGGTAACGCGACGCCAGAGGTGCCCGCCATCATGCTGGAACGTCTATGTACTTCGCCGACGTACGGAATGTGGTACCCCGCCGATCCGAATAGCGTCGCCTCTAACCAGCCGCCCATGGTCGTCTTCCCCAATTTTACCGATTTCTATACCACCTGGAAGAAGGATCTTGAGTCTCGAGGCGTGACTGTTCGCTTGTCGACGGAGCTTACTGAGGTTGTACACCGCAACAAGCGTGGCGTCCTCGTCAAGACTAAGCCCCGTACCCCTGTGGAAGACGGACATAACCCCGTTGGCGGCGACCCAGATGCAATCGAGTCAGAGGAACATTACGACGAGATCGTTATGTGCGTCCTTGCCGACACCGCCAAGAAGATTCTGGGCAAGACCTCATCATGGCGCGAGCGCAAGGTGCTCGGCTCGGCTACCTTCTCCGACGATATCACAATCACTCACAACGATGCCGACTATATGAAGAAGTACTACGAGAACTTTTACGACGAGAAGAAAGCTGTCAAGACACTAGGCAAGAAGGGTGAGGTGGATGAGTCGTCCCGCCTCGCGTTCGCCAAGGACAACTTCAGACCCATGTACTATATCCGCATGTACGACGGCGACCTCTCCAAGCTGGAGATGTGCTTCGACACCACCAACTACCAGTCTCAGTTCCCCGACAAAGTGCCCTTCGAGCAGCACGTCTTCCAGACGATCTATCTCAACAAGGACCGCGACCGCAAGCACTGGACCGATAGCGAGATTGACAAGGACAAGATCATCCGCGCCGACTGGTGGCATCAGCTCTGCCACACATGGAAGCACTACACCTTTGTCGTACCGTGGATGATGTTCCTTCAAGCCAAGAAACGCGTCCGTTTTGCGGGCTCGTGGACTCTGGTCAACGCGCACGAGGTCGCCATCATGTCTGGTATTGCTGCCGCTGTCGACATGGGCGCAGACTACCCTGAGGACTTGGAGCACGACAAGTTTGCGCTCCTGTGCTTTAGGCTGTATTACCTGTTGGCCTACGGAAAATGGTATCGCCGCAAGTTCAAGGACAGCAAGAGCCAGAAGGCCAAGGATGGCGCGAGCTGGGCTTCTGGGTTGTATGGAAGTGTGTACAAGGGTCCTGGTGTTGCTGAGCAGGAGAGGTCGGTTTGGAGGGAGGAGGTCAAGGCTGGGCGGAGCACGGAGAATCTGGCGGATGGTAATAATGGGAGGAGTCAGCCTTAGAGTTGAGTCGGGGTTTAGGGACATAGAGTCTCATGTAAGACTACCTTATACTAGAAAATGATCAAAGCTAGCTTTTTTTCATGGTTTGAGGCTCACGCAAGCTGATGGTCCCAATTATGCAATATGTACATCGGGAGACATCCCTTGACACTGAATGGAGGCGAAACAAAGATCAAGAAGCTCAATCTACCGCCGCGACTAGTACCATTGAAGGTCGAATACTAACGCCACGAAGTTGATTATCGGAGAAGCATAAAAGTATTCTTCAGTACAATAGTCCCTCTCTTTGAGCCTACCACCGCAAGCATGACCCCGTCCTACGAATCTATATTACCTAACTCTTTTGATATAACAAGAACATGTTCGTGGGAAGTCTGGTGGGAAAGATCTCAACCAACAAGGCTTAACTTCATTGGCAGATGGGCACATTCCAGAACCTCAGAGTTCCCATGGCCGACCCAAACGCCATCCTCGCCGTACAAGTGCCAAAACACGGGCTTCACTTGAGCCCGCCTTCACAGTAGGGCACCTCTTGTCATCCACCACAAGCTGCATCCCGCACCCGAGTGTCTCCCAATACGGCCCGGATTCTTCAAAATACGCCCCGCACAGCACTAACAAGACCTTGGTCCGGGCCAGGTCGCACGCGCCCTCAGTCTTAATCTCGTCGACACGGACCAAGTTCGTGGCCGCAGAGATCGTCGTGCTTGAACGCGACGTAGCCAAAGTCGTTGTTGCCTTTTATAAAGGCCCCTGCCCAACTCGCAAAGCATATTTCGCCCGAAGGCATCGGTTCGGGCGAAATTGTACTGGAATATTGGCAAAGCTCCCGACGAGGGTCCAAATGCCGGTAGGGTTCAGTGGCGACCTATTGGAGTTATTGCAAGTGGTGGCGGGGCGCAGGGACACCAGGTTCGCTTTGCTGATATTGATGGTGATGGTCGTTCCGAGTTTATCTGGGTCAAGGATTCTGGATCTGCGACGGTGTGGTGGAATAGGGGCTTCGCCTCTGATGGCGAAGTCAAAGTTATCTGGGGTCCAGGCGCGGGCGAAGAGATCGCCCCGGGCATCGGAGACGGCCAAGGTAAGTCACTAGTTCACTGTTTTCACTGTTTTTTTCGGTTCAAAACCAAGATTGACCTTGCCTTTGATTTACAGGTGTGCGCTTTGCTGATATGAATGGCGATGGCAAAGCGGACTTCATCCACCTCGCAGACAATGGCGCGGCTACCTTATACATCAACCAAGGGCGTCACGAAACAGGCGGCTGGGGATGGTGGAATTGGGGCGTGATCGCAAGTGGACTCGGCATCAGCCGAGAGAATATCCGGTTTGCCGACTTGAACGGTGACGGTCGTGATGACTACATCGCCGTTGATAGCGCTACAGGCGGGCTGAATGCGTGGTATAACCGCGGACCCCAGAGCCAAAATTGGGCTGCTGTCGCTCCCTTGGTGTGGTGGAATCCGGGATCAGTCGCTTCCGGCGTAAGCTATTTACCAAATTGGTCAACCTCGAGTATGGTGACGTTTAGGGACTTGAATGGAGACAGTAGGGACGAGTACTGATATATTGGAGTAGAAGATTCGAGTGTTTATGCATTCTTGAATGGATGCTAAGAAGTAATATTCTAGATAGTTATTATATCTACACCTAGTACTTACTTTTGCAATGATTCTTCCCCCCTAACTTCCAGGAAAACCAAGGCATCATGGCCGAGCGATGTGATTAAGGAGAATTCCAGTCTCTTTCCTCCCTGATCACCTAAACTAGAGAATCTTCAAGTCAGCGACTGAAGCTGCAAAAGCTGGATGTAGCGCGTGACGACGGGCGCACTCGCGGGAAGCTGCGGAGCCTGGCAACTCGCTACTCAGATTACAAACCTTGAATGAAAATCAAGGCAAGATGGCCGAGCGGTCTAAGGCGCTAGCTTCAGGTGCTAGTCAAGTAATTGGCGTGGGTTCGAATCCCACTCTTGTCATGTATCTTTTGCTTTTTGAACCTATGTGTATTTTTGTCCATCATCTCATCAATTTGACCTGAAAACAGCCATTGAAACTCATTGTGGTTGGCATTCAAGACGTGTTCAAAGTTGGCCCTGGACATCGGCCGGCCAGCAACGGCTTTATGCCCCACTTATGCCGAGTCCGGGCTTCTGCTCCGATCCAGCACTGTTTCCGTGCCAGAGTAACGATCTCCTTCACTCCAACTATAAAGCAAGGAATCGCAATGTTGTCAAATAGGGTGGAATCGATTGATGAATATTACAGATTGGCCCTTATCTGGCCTTCATTTGAATCCTAATCTTCTGCGCCATCTGCTCGCTGTTCCAAGTCTCTTGCTGTTTCTTCGCCTTGGCTACCAGAGCCCTCTGTTGTGGAAGCGGCAAGTGCGACAAGACCTGTCGATCGGCCGGACGAAGCGAGGCTAAATGCTTCTCGAAAATCCTGTCCCGCTTGTCTGCTGCTGCCGTCAGATCCTTTTTGCTATAGCCACTTGCTGTCAAGGCTGTCGATGTGTCTTCTCTTGATGAGCCTTCACCAACCAGAAGTGAGTCGCTGGCTTCTCTCTCGCCTTGGTTAGGCTTTCGATGATTTTTAAGTTTCTTTCCATTTCGGTGCAATACGAGCTTTCCAGAGGGCAACTCTCTGGTGTCTTCGTCCGAGTCGACGAAGCGCCGGCATCCAAACTTGTCCTCGCTGTCTCTGCCACAACTAGAGTCGAGATCGTAAAAGTCTCTAAACTCTGAATCTAGTTTGCCAATGTCGATCCGGCAGTGTGGCTTGCCCGTCATGTGCTGCCGAACTGTTTGGGCTGTGTTCCTGACGGAGCCGCAGTAGAGACACTCCTTGTACTCGACCATGACGAGGTGCAAGTATTTGATCAAAGTCTCGAGGTCTACTATCAGACTTTCGGGATTCGGTATAGAGAGTCCATGGCGCTGCTGCATGTGCACCATGCTTTCTGCGAATTCTGTGCTGAGCTCATTGCAAAAGAGGCACTGGCTGGGGTTGAAGATTTCCTGGGGCGCAGTGTCTTCGCCGGATGATTCGGTGTCGTGTTCGTCTACGTCCGAGTGTGAAAGGGATGCTTCTTCAACTATTTTGCTGAGAAACACGGTGGGGTTCTCGAGTTCGGCGACGGGGATCGACCGCGAGACCGATAGTTCTGACATGATAGGATGATGGAGGCTCCTTGGGCTATCCGAGGAGTGCATCTTTCGGCTTGTCGGATGTATAACACCCGAGCAACGGTGGAGATGATAATGGACCTTGGTCATATACAAGTCGATAGAAACTGGGACTTCATGGCCGTTCTCATCGGTCTTATAAACTGCGGTTGAAATACAATATCCATAAGCACAAGGTCCAGACCCAAGTTTATTGGATAGAAGGAAGAACGAATGGGCCCAGAACGCCGCTGAAGTGCTTCACGACCTTCCTATTTGCGTAAGTCGCCGTATGACTGCATAAACAGTGTTCAAAGAGGCAGTGAAGTGGCGGGGATGTTGAAGAGGACCAACCAACAGGTCTTTCGCCGTGTCGCATGTAGGACATTACCAACAGAACAGTGTAAGTCCGTGGTCGGTTCAAGTCACCCGTCGCGATTCAGAATCAGGCTTTTGTGGGTGTAGCAACATTCAATCTCATGGCATCGATAGATAGTCAGGTGCTGCAATTGAGCTGGGCCTTCATCCTCATAACAGTTCTCGGCGCATGCTTCTTCATATTGCCCGTGTCAAATCATGATGTCTAAAGCTACACAAGGCTAAATGTCATTATCTAGAGGGCTTGATGACGGGAAGACTGGCACAAGGCCAAGAAGGGTTGGTCTCTGGCTTGCCAAACTCCACATTGCCAACAATTGTGTAAATGTTGTTGCAGAGCGGCATCTTGACGTAGCCAGGCACGCGAATGCCGTTCCCAAACCACAAGCTAGAGCCCTCGCTGGGCTGAATGTTGGTGTAATTCATGTTGAAGTTGTTGTTCATCCGGCCGCCCTCGACCCAGCCTCCATACACAGCGGCGACGATGTCTTCCTTTGTGACACCACCCCACTGCTTGCCATCCATCGTGTCCGTGCCAAAGAGAGCAGAGAAGGGGTTGTTTTCACTGGGTCTGATGGAGGGGTGACCGATGCTCAACTCCACACCCTCGTTCCTGATGTCGAGCAGGTAGAACAGAGCGCCGTTGTAGCAGGCAGCAGCTCTTTCGTGCGAATCGGCAGGCAAGAAGGGCCAGAGAGAATCATCTCTCTCAGTCTTGCCCATCTTGCAGGGGAGACCGGTTTGGCTGGTGCTGCGTATCAGTAACGGTTCGTCGAGGGGCGCTCGGGAATGGGCAACATACAGGACAAAGGGTCTCCGAGCCGAGGGGACAGTCTCCCAAGCGGCCAGCATGAGGTTGGGGTAGAAGAGCTTCTTGATCACCTTGGACATCTCCCTGAAGTCAATGTCGTCGGGGGTGGCGGACATCAGGCCGTTGTCCAGCGCGGCTGTCAAGAACTTGATCGTTGCGTCATCTCTGGGGGTGAAGATCCTTTTGAGATACTCAACCTCGGCCGCCTTCCAGCTGTCGAACACGTCGCCCATCATGGCAGACAATGTTCCGTAGGCGGGCTTGGGCGAGGCGCCTCTATTCGCTGGTGTTAGTACTCCAAACATTTATGAGTTATCATCTATGAAGTTTGAGACTTACGGGAGGAGGAAATCCTTTCCGATAGCCCAACTGGTAAAGATCGTGTAACTGCTGGTTGTGGTGATTTGAGATCGCATGGTCTGAGTGAGAAAACTCTGGAACAGGGTTGAGTATACAACTTTTCAAGTCATTAGCTTTGAAAACCACATGCTAGTAGAGAGTGCTTGTGAGAAGAACTTACAGATGTTGTTGGTGTATGCTTGCGCAATACCAACGACTCCGTAGATGACGTTGAGCATAATTCTCTGCATCCTCGCCGATGAGTCGCTCTCTGCAAGAGGGACAGAGAACTTCTCGGCAAAAAGACCCATCTCGGACTGAATATCCATCTGTGCCTGGTCGAGAGCCTCGAAGTAACGGCGGTGGAACTAAACCAGCTATCAGTCATTATTCTTCTGCCTGCGGTATGTGATGTCTCCCAGTGGGATATGAAACTTACTTGGTGCATCTTGGAGAAGGAGTTGAGAATCAGATGACCAGCGGGGTACTTGGTATCCTCGCACGTCAACGAAGTTGAGCAAGGCACGTCAAGCAGCTGCGTGCATCGCCACATCTCCGGGCCGCCGAGGTACCACGACGCGAACTGGCTGAACTCGAACTTGACCTCGTTCGGGCCAGAGTCGTACTCCTTCCAGGCCTTGAGCACCTCATTGAGGGCCTCGGTGGCGCCGGCTGCCGCCCATCGTTTGTCAGGCAAAGCCTTTGCATCGATGACGGTGCCTTGGCACTTGACAGTCTTCCAGTCCACGGCGGCAGCGGCAAGGGCCGTGGCTGAGGATAGCCAGACGGCTACAAATGAGAAGCGCATTGCGAGAAGAACTTCGTATTGCGGCTGAGAGAACGTTACCGATTGCGAAGGAGCTCTACCTGCGAGTTTCAGCTCGATGGAAGTCTGCTGGTGACTGACGGAGTCTTATACATTCCTCACGAGGCGTCTCCATGATGGGCAGTAAGTGAACTCAGAAGTCTGAGGCGACGACAAGTAGTGCTTGCCGGATACATCCTTAGTTCTTTCGCCCGCGACTTTTTCGCCGCGAAAACCTAGACTTGGTAAAATTGTGGAAATTCAGTCTGCGGTAATTGGCAAGACTTCTCGACTGTCTCTCCTACGGAGGTTTCCGAAACTCTGATCGAAAATCTGATTAGATGTGATTGATCACTTAATCTCTGTTAATCTCGGTAACTGATCGGCAATAAGGCGGAGTGCTGAGTGCGGGAGTTGCGACAAGGATGGGGGTGCTTTGAAAAGTTTATCTGGACGGTAGTACGGACATTGACCAAGAACTTGCTCGTCAAGCTTGCTTGCATCTCTACTAGAGAGCATGTGTGGTATTGAAGAGTTCCGTTTCTAGCAAACATCTTCGAGGGTCGACTCTTTCAAACTTCTGCATCTTGAAGCCAACCTCTTTGTTCCAGTTTGATGGCACTTCGAGGTACCGGGAACATGAGTTTCTACTACCGCCAGCTTCAGGGACATCGTCATATTTTTCCTTGCTAGGCTGTCTCTACAGCGGACATTGAAACATTGAAACTATCCAGGTGCTCGCTCTCATGTTGGAAAGTAACGACAAATCACTTCGTGACTAACTTGATCACACACCTGGGCAGAAAAAGGCATTTCTTTCGCCCTTTCGCTTACCATATGTTTCGCTAGCCTTCTCAATCCTCGCTGGGTTGATCGCGGTTTTGAGAGTTGATCACTGATGGGGCCAAGCGTTTTAACGCTTCTTTCAAGTCTGTGCTTCTGACAGCGATCAACAAAAACTGATGCCAAGACAATGTTGAAAATTCAGAAAAGCTTGTTATGAGCATTTTGCCCTGTCATCGGCCTAGGCATGAGCTGATTTCTCGCAGGCAGATCTAGGTTGACAGTGTTGATGGTTTGATGCCCGGTATCTCTCCACCCTGATGGTCGAAAACTTTGTTCTCCCTGGATGGACTGTTTTGTCGCAGAAGGCCCGAGAAAATCTCGGAAATGAGCGCTGCTATGCTACAGCGAGGCGAACCATGGCTGCAAAGAAGATGTGGAGGAGGGCGGGAGAGGCAACTTGCGGAGGCAGAGCCGATACCAAGGGTATCGTCCGACTGAAACTAGCAAAAGGTTTCTACATATATTAGAGCTGAGCTGTGGCCCGGCTTCTGGGCCCGTGGCCAGTTGTTCAGTCCTCCCATTCAATACAACAGGCACTTGGCCGAACTTGTACATCGAACAACTCGTTGTTGACAGACCAAGATCGAGATGTTGCTGTTCACGAAAGCGTAAGTTGCCCTCGACGATCAAGCCAACATGATGCATGTAAGTTCAAGAAGAAACTTTGCTAATAGAACGGCAGCAACCTCTGGGCCTGTCTGGCTCTGGTCCAGCTATGCTCTGCCACCGCGATTGATGTCACCGGTCTCAGCCCGCGTGGTGCCTACCGCGACGACTCTGGGAGCTCAGACTGTCTTCAAGTTGGCTGTGATACCTCAGTCTGCGCCAAAGACCCCGTCGATGCCCTCGCTGTTGCTTCGAAGGGAGTGAGCCTCATTTTGGGTCCCGATTGTGCTGGATGGGCTGAAGGTAGTCCTTCCGTGGTACAGGGGGACAAATCCTGCCCTGCGGGAACACAACTTTACCGTGGAGACTTGAGAGTTTGGCGTGCATGGAACAATGTTGGAAAGAAGTTCACAACCACATTCGTCCCGTGGGAACAGTTCAAGGGTGCTACTTGCTGGGGCAGGAAGGATGTCACTTGTGTCAAGGGGCCAAAGCAAGTCCCGGATCCGAATACTGGCTTATGCGGACCATGGGCTTTGTAAATGAGCTTCGGTTATCACTCAAACAGCCGATATGGGAGGTTATCATAGGTTTGAGTCGTGTTGATGGATAGATACCTTATCTGAAGGGACCACGATAAATTTCTCATTTGAGTCTCGCCATTCCTAGTTCGATTCGATACTTGAATGTACACCAACTTATGTCCCTTAAGTCTTGTCAATTTCAAGCCTCATTCAATGCTCGTGTCGCTCAAGATCAAGATGGTATTGAATGGCCATTCAAGAGAGAGAAAGAGGTTGATCCATGAACATAATCTACTAAAGTATATTGAATGCACTGCATACAAAGAGTTCTCCAGTACCATATTTGATCTCCACCGCGATTGTGGAGGACTTCATGAGGCGAGGCCGTGTGGGAGTAAATACATCATCCACGGCCCAGCCGGGTATCAACCCTGACTCCGCCATAGTGCTTCAAGAATTGTCCCCGAATAGGAGGAGAATATGACCCCTTCCTTCCAGCCCTGGCTATGGGCCACAGGACGCGGGCGGCACCATCCTCCCAACCAATGGGCCGCTCGCCGCCATAAGCCTGCTCAAATTCTGGAGCGGCACTCATGTAGCCCGGATCGACAGTGTTCATGGCCACGCCTAGCTTCCAAGCCGTCGGCGCCTCCGTCTCGGTAATCATATTTAGGCCAGCCTTCGACATATTGGTGTGGACGTGCTTGCTATGTTTGGCGGGTGTGCGGTACGCTGACTCGAATATACCTTCTCTGGACGAGACGTTAACGATGTGACCCCCTTTTCGCATCGAAGGTAGCAACTCCCGGATCAATATCAGAGGCACAAACGTGTTGACGCTGTGTGCAGTGATGACATCCTCGTAAGGGATCTCCGAGAGCGACTGGACCCAAGAGGATGGAGTTGGTGTCTCCACGCCAGATACTTGTAGCTTAGACATTGAGTCAGAAAGGGTTGTGTTCTTAGGAGCTGAAGGCCCAGCAATACTGCCAGAAACCTTTCCTGCTACACCGTCGGGAAGACTGCCGGCACCACCTCGTGCTCTTGGTGAGTAACCTTGGCGTACGACCACACCTTTCCCATCGCTCGACGGCTTGTCAAGCAGAAACCGCTCATGTTCAATGGCACGTTCCTCTTTTTCAAGGGGATCCGTAAGAGTCTGGGCGGCGTTGTTGATCAGATGGTCAAGATCCCATCCTTCTTGCTGTAGAGTTTTCTTGATGCTTTGGACCAGAGCGAAAGCATCAGCTGCTGCTCGGAAGTCTGCCCCGATGATTCTCAATTTCTGAGCCCATTTATCAAAATCTGCCTCCTGTTGGTATCGTGAGAGCGCATCTTCCGGATAACGTGACGATACAATGACAGCAGCACCACAACGGAGTAGCCGTAGGGCCGTGTGGAAGCCGAGATTGACACGCCCACCAGTAACGACGGCGGTCTTATCCTTGAGTGACATGTTCTCGGGTAACGACAATGCTCTCTCCGCGAGGTTGAACTCTCCACAAGGAATGCACATCGATCCCAGCTGTGCATGCGGGTTATCGAGAACCATACGGCAGACGTAGCAAGTTCGTTTCCGACTGCTCATTGGCATGGTCCGGTGCAAAAGTTCAGGCGGATCATCGTTAGCGGCCATTGAAGGCGTGTCGGAGAGCCTCGTCTTGATGGTCTCAATCAGTTGCTCAAATAGCAGTCTTCTCATACTTAGATCCAGGTTAGGCCAAAGGTAGAATGAAACTCTTTGAACTTCATCTGAAGATGGCGGGGGCATGTAAAGAGCGAGAAGGCTGGGCAGCTCTGTTTCATCTTTTGCGGCCTTCTTCGACAGGTCAAAATCATATCGTAGTTGATTTGCGACGTCATGAAGTCGTGAATTCGCAATAAAATGCTGAAAGTCGGATGGTTCTAAAAGAACACTCGGGGGATCTTTGGCCATTTCAGGAGAATTGGCAAAGTTCTGCTCGGGGGGTTGATGTGCAACCCTCTCCTTGTGACTTAAAGCTAGTTCGGGGAATCGGCTTTCCATGTGTTCAACGACGCGCATAAAAGACTCAAGCCACTCTAGCTCTGTCAGAGTACTGGGCATGAAGTTCTTGTACTCCTGGAGCTTCTGCCCTTGGGTCGAGCTTAAGCGTGGGAGTCTGTCTTCGAGCGTGCGAATGCTTCGGATGCCGTCTCTCGTCTTCTCTAGGTCTAAAGAGTAGTCCAGCTGTTCATTAATAGCATCAAATAGCTGGAGACACCAGTCATATGGTACTAGTATTGGGTGGGCGTATCGAAACGACCATAGTGTGCGTCCCGGTTTACGAGCATACAGCCGTAGTTGCCGAGGAATGTGAGCGATGTTCTTCCGTGGGGTCTGAGGTGCCAAGGGGGGTTTCAGGTACCTTGGGAATTGCTCGTAAAGATCGGCCAGACGGTGTAGTTCTGATGCCTTTTCGTCATTAAGAAGTTTCTGTGCCTCCACAAGACGTGGAATGATCTCGACGCAATCTTCAGGTTTCCACCCTTTGGCGCGAAACCCCGCGACGGTCCGCGGATGTTGGAAGGCTTTTGAATCCTTGGGGTTGGGCAAATACTGTATGACGGCGTAGAGCTTGGTGCCACGATCCCAGAACTTTTCTTTGTGAAGTATCATCCTGGAGAAGGCGCGCACCAGGTCATCCCCAAGAATAACCGTGAGATATGGCCAGACCGGCATAGCAGAGGATGAAGCCTTGGCGTGTCGAGGCCTGAATTCGGAGTTCGGCTTCGTCGCCATAACGAGCTGCCCCTCGGACAACAAGGAGAGCCTGTTCAAAGCTACCCAGGATCTTGCCAAGTGACCTAGGTCTTGATCGCGCAGTACCGCCCATGCTTTGCTGTTACTGAGAGCTGACTGAAGGGAGGTGCCGTAAGGGGAATTGGCGCCATATCGAGTCCCTAGAAGGTCGAGGATACGGTGATATGGGAGGTCGGCTAGAACAGGCTCAATTAGCTCAGCCGGAGTTACTGAGAGCTGCCGGGCGATTCGAACGAATCTTTGAGGGAGTAGGTCATCCATAGTGGGTATGAAAGCTGTTCATCTGATCCCTATGGAGGAGGTAAAGTCAGGCAGACAATTTTTTGATCGAGTCGACAGGTTGGAGTCTGGCCTAGTGACGTTATCGACATATAATTGCCCTGGGGAGCTGAACGTGATTGTTGTTGATATATGATTTGAATGTTATCAAGCAGTGGAGAAAAGGTGACTCGACGATGAGGTGACAAACACAGGAGGCCAAGACCGTCTCCAAGTTTTCATTGGCCGTGATGACTTGACGGTCTAGAATGCTGGCTTTCATGGAAGTAATCCGCATCGGCGAAATGCACGAACCCCTGGGATGACGCTGCTGACGGCTGCTGCCTAGCGTGGAGAAGATTGGCCTCAACAGCACCATGAAATTGAAGGGCGCAAGTTGGACTAACAAGGCGTTGCAGATTCCCACAAGCCTCCATGCTGTTCCGCTGCGGGTTGTCAACATGCCGGACCAGACTTGATCAGTCATTCGAGATGGGAGTGAGAATGTGAACTTGTAGGAAATGCAGAACGAAGGGCGCGAGTGAGTCAAATTAAGCTTGTATTTTGATGCCCTGTCCAGCTCAATCGCCTAATCGGATCATGCAGCAACACTGCACTACCCTAGTCAGACACTACACATCTCCTCTGATCGACATCCATTTGTTCTGCATCAATTCAGGAAAGCTCTTGAATCTGATCCTCGGCCCATTCCTCAGAATTCTTTCCATGGACATCGCCTGCTCAGACTTTAGAATTGGTAGCGTTTTCAGAATCTGCCTGTACACAATGCTGAAAAGAACAAATGGGGGAGGTTGGCGTGAACCATTGGCTCCGCAGAACGTAAGGTAGATGACTGAATGCAGGTTGAAGCTCACAAAGCTCGAAATGAGGGCGCTTGCTTCCTGGTGTACCCAATCGAGTGAAAGACGCATGGGAAGATGAGCAAGTTGCAACAAGAAGCCAGCATTGCAGACATTTCGTTCAGCACAGGGACCGATTACAGGCAATCATGCCAAGTTTTTGGCTTTCTTGATAAAAATACATGCATAACCTTTTACACCTCCGTCATTGCATCAACGGTCGAGAGCTTCTCTTAAACTGTCTTGTGCTCAGCTAAAAGATCGACGAACTTGTCTATCTTTCGTTTCCTCGTTTCTGGGCGTTTCGTCGTCTCGATCCGCCACAAGAAGGCATACCGCTGCGTCTTATTCAAAGCATCAAAGAACTTGTTTGCCTCTTCGTTTCGTCGCAATGCCTCCACAAAGTCTAACGGCACTTCCATCGTGCTTGCAGAAGAGTAGGCTCGATCCCATCGCCCATCGGCCTTGGCAGCGTTAATCTCAGCCTGTCCAGTTGGTCTCATGCGTTCTGCTTGTATTAGAGCCGCAACTTTGTCAACGTTCCTCTTTGACCAGAGGCTATTCTTCCGTCGTGGGGTAAACCTCTGGATAAAGTGCTGCTCGTCGAAGGCTTTGCGTTGTCCATCGATCCAGCCGAAGCAGAGCGCCACATCGAGGGCTTGATCATACGTGACTGTTGGTTTTTCGGCGTTCTTTTTGGCGATCTTGAGCCAGACGCCCAGGGAATTTTGGTATGACTTGTCCAAGTAGCTCTCCCACTTGGAGTGGTCCTCGAAGAGCAGGGTTGGGATGGAGTCCGAGGAACTTGGCGGAACAGTTTCATCGGTGGCTGGCACAGGAAAATATTCTGCTGTGTTCTTGATCTCAGCTTGGACACTTGCTCTGGTACGTCTCGGCATAGTCGTCGATGAAAAATTTGGCTGGGGGTGTTGCTGCGTACGGCGTTGGGCGCCACGAAGAGGGGCGGTGTGTGGCAGTGATTTTGTACAACGCCAAAATTTTGAATACAAAGATCTCAAGGTTAGGTCAAGAGTCGTCTTTAATGGGTGAGTAAGTCAGTGGCCCATGGTTTGGCAGAAGTTAGATGTTGATGGAAAGAAGCTTTGGGGTTGGGATAAGGCACCTGGATACCCCAAAAGCCAACTTCTTGGGTTCGAGCTAGTCCACTTGGGGACGGCGGCTGCAGGTACCCATCTCCGGAACGGATTTAACGGTCGTGGGACGGGACCCTGACCATCGTCCTGGTAGTGATTTCCTATGCCAATACCTCATTTGTTATGTTCCCAGATTGTGAACAGTTCCCTGAGCTTAATGTCCGCAGATGCAGGCTACAGATTTGCAGACTTGCAAGTGATGGAAATGTCAAAATCTACCAGCCACTTGCTGTGTTTCAGAACTATGCCTGCGCGAGTTTGTGTGTACGCCTTGAATCCAGCCAGCTTCCGTATCAACTTGAAGTCGCCACAGCCAACGTGGGATGCTGTATCTTCGGACGGTCACACTCAGTCGATATGGTATCCATTGATCCCATAGATGAGATGAACGTGTGGGACGGAACGAGAAGAATATATCCTGGTATGTTACAACCTGGCGGCTTCATTTTTAGCACTCTCAGTTACCTCAAGCCTGTCAAAATATTCTTGAATCCCGGTTCACAACTTTCAAAACCTATCTCCGAGGGCGAAAGAGGTGCCTGGATGAATTGATTTATATAGGTACGACAACATCGAACCCGTGCAGGTGGCCTTACATCTGGCTTTTGCCAAACTTTTTAACATAATGGCTGGGCGGCATAAGGAAGACAATATGCTCATGATGCTGGCGAGAACAAGATGTACCGGGTCAGAAGGGTGTCAAGACCGGGAAGGTTCTTGCTGCTGATCCTATTTATTCCCTTCGTCTGCAATGTTTCTTCTGCTTTTCTTTCAAAGTAGCAGTCTCAATCCCCAACTATCTTCCCGCTGTCCCAAGCACTCATATCACTTCAACTTACTCCACGCAGTTTGACTGCATCGCTTCAACATCTTGCTTTCAGAATTACCTGACACATTTCTTCAACATACATCTCCTTTCAGACGCTTCAATCAGCAAGATGAATTACACCGAAGATCTGTTGTTCGGCTCAGCATCGAGATATGTGCGCAAAGAACAGTCTCACAGCAATGACCACAATAAGAGCAACAAAATCTGCTCGATACCAGTCGTCGTTCAGGGTATCGATATACCTCGAAACATGACAATGACTCAGGGAGGTTTCATGGGGCTTCCATTCCTCTGCAGCATTACATCCGACTCGCCGACAGACGAGCTGAAGGCAATCAACGCTCGAGACAAGTTCGATTCCTGGGCAAATCTGATTCGTCGATATGAACCAGCCAAGAACATGGCCGACTTAATCAAGAGCTGTTCTTCCTGGCTCAATATGAGTCAACTGGATCCCTCTTTGGGGAATCTCACACAAGTCAAACTGGCACACACTGTGTACGAGACACTTAAAGATGCCAACTTCGACTGGTGGGCTACACGGTGTCGGTATAAAGCCTACGAGGATGATTCTGAAGCCGACGATCTTCCCTTCTCGCACTCGCGCTGGCCAAGTCCACCTCTCGGCACTTCGACAACCATTGAGTTCCAATGGAACTCCGACAGAAAAATTCTCTGTTGGTTCGATACGACCATTGAGAAGACAGTGCAGATCTTTTTCGAGCAGTTCACTGATGGCACCGGGATCTTCGAGTCCATGGAGGACCACGAAGCCTTCAACCAGTGGATTGAACACCGCAAAAGACACACAATGAAACTCCGCAAGGAGCTCACATTGAAACGCCTGGGAACGACCACTTCTCGCCCCAGAGCCCAGAAGCCCACCAAGACTACAGCCCGACAAACACCAGCTGCAAAGAAGATGAGAAATGGGTGCAAGAAGGGAAAGGAAAGGAGAAATTAAGGGAAGCCAAAGGCTCGAGTGCGGATCTACGAGATCTCAGCACAGAGAAGGATTAATGAAATTGGAAAAGTTGATTCATCACACGAGGGTCTTAGTGGGACTATGGAGCGTGAAGGCAAGATGCGGTACTTGCCCACACAGCTCCTTACTACAACTGTACATCATTACTGCCTACATTAATATAGTATATATTGTCCCACCTCGTGCCTGCCTCGCCAATTCTAGTTCTTTTGATGTATTGGATGAGGCATCAAGGATTTTCTTGCACGGCCAAGGTGTCTTTCATGTTTAATGATAACCGGGTTGTTAGAAACACAAGCAAAGAGTCAACTTCACAGGATGGCCAATTGACGCTTTGAAATTGATTCCCTTCCGGGAGGCTATCGCCTAGTATCCCTCCCAAAACGGCACGAACAATATCTGAGAAATAGTAGGAGCTCATCTGGCTTCCTCAACGCTTTGCTACTTTCCACTCCCGAGGTTGTGTCTGGTCTGGCCATCCATTCCGTACCTTGCTCATCGGGTCCGGGCGGTTAATGGTAAGTTTGCGTGATATCTGATTCTTCTCCAACGAAGTACGACGACATTGGACATGCAAGTGGGATGAATGGAATAGCACGCCAGTGCAGAATTTCGGCACCAGGACTCACATGAGATTGGGGTCCTGGCATCTCGTCTGCAAAGCTTGTCCCCAACAACCGGGGAAACCTTGACTCGTTATGACATATTCGTCTCTAATCACGTCTCATCCGCACTTTGGCTGATAAACGGATGTATGGGATGTAATATCGGACCTAGGATGATCTGGCTAAAAGCCACGTGGGGGAGGGGTCCAAACAGCCCAAATTCGGACGGCTTCATTCCGAGGTATGAAACGAAGAGCAATTACATATCAACTACTTTATAAAGCACGACTGGCTTGAGCTGTGGAAACAGGAGAGCTCTTCCTAATCTCCCGAAGTGAGTCTTCATCACTGGTTTTCATGATGCTGGCATACTGGCTTTTCCTCTGGGCAACGTTCACTCTCGCCATCCCAACTGGCGACAACCTCTACAAACGACAGGACGAAAATCATTGGATTGTGACATGGACGTCTATGCCCCAAGAGGTGGAACAGAGTAATCTTCCACCGTCGCCATACGTATGCCGCCTCCTTCCTTCACATCGTGGCTGTGCTAATTCAACTCGGTAAGAATGGAGGAAGTGTTCAGTTCCGCAATGCGACGCTCCGTCAGACCTTTCACGCCTCCACCGGCGCATCACGCATCCGTTTCCAGCTCACTAACGCCTTTGGGGGCTCAGACCTGCCCATCACAGCAGCCTCCGTCGCCCTTCCACTCGGCGGAGCCGCAGGTGTATCTGGGATCGATACTGCCACCACCAAGGGGCTCACTTTCTCCGGGTCTCCATCCGTGACTATTAAGCAAGGCGCGGTCATTTACTCTGACCCGATAGACTTCAAGGTGCTACCGCAGGCCAACATCGCGCTGAGTCTGTACTCTCAGCAAGGCCAGTCTGGGACACGTATCACGGGACACCCAGGCAGCCGCACGACTTCATGGATGCAGACTGGAAATCAGGTAAATGTATCGTCTGTCGGAGGTGCTAGCACAAAGCACTGGTACTTTGCTAGTGCTGTGGAAGCGTGGGCTCCGAGGAACACGTCTGCGATGATCGTCCTTGGGGATAGCATCTCCGATGGACGTGGAAGCGACAATGACAAGAACAACCGGTTCGTCAACTCCCCTGCCATGACAATCTCAGTCTCAACTGAACATCACCCTAGCTGGCCCGACCTTCTCCTTGCACGCTTACAAAAGGAGGGAATCGCAAACCTCGCCATCGCAAACCAAGCAGCCGGCGGCAACGCAGTCCTCAGCGGCGGCCTCGGCCCCACACTCCTAACCCGCTACCCCCGCGACGCCCTCACCCAGCAAGGCGTCTCCCGCGTTCTCATCTTCGAAGGCGTAAACGATATCGGCGGCGGTGGTACCGACGTGGGCTCCCAGCAGCGTATCGGCGACGGGCTCATCGCCGCGTACAAGCAGATCGTAGCCGACTGTAAGAAGGCCGGGCTGGCTACCGTCGGGGCGACGATCACGCCGTTTGCCGGGAGCGGGCAGGCGTACTCGAACGCGGAGAGGGAACGGACGCGAGTAAGGGTGAATAAGTGGATTCTGGAGAGTGGGACGTTTGATCACGTCGTGGATTTTGCGGGGTTTATTGGTGATGGGGATGGGTTGAAGGCGCAGTTCGATGGCGGTGACCATTTGCATCCGAATGTGGCTGGGTATCAGGAGATTGCGGCCAGGTTTCCTTTGGATATTCTCAAAAGTTGAAGATAGGATTCATGGACAACACGGCACTCGCTAGGTAGTCCTCGAGATATATTCACCAGCTTGACGCGGCAACTCATCAAATGCGGCATTTGAGTCTGGACCTTGGTGGTCGATGTTTCATCATCATCATTAACACCATGACTTGAGATGTGGATGTGCCTCAGTTGGTTGGCAGATTTCATCCACTTCAATGACAGAAAACTTGTCAAAAGCCTGACGCGAAGTTCTAAGCTTGCTGTGAGTCGGCTAAGCGGCTCCGTAACTGAGCTGAATGGGTTAGGTCTGGCGGGTTTGCCGATCAACGAGGCAGAATCGTGCTTGGCGGCTGAGGGAGGCCTTCGCCTCACCTTATGCCCGGGAGCCTGATGAATCGTCTGAGATTGAAGTGCAAAAGTGCTCAGCCGAGACTCATAAGCTCATACCTGGGCTTGAGTGCGCTTTCACGAAACTCCAGATTTCGCGCAGACAACGACTCAGTCAAGAGGAAAGCAACCCCCATCGGGATTGATCAGGATGGTTAACGATAGTGATCCGGGGGCACAGGTCGGAAACGCCAACGCTCCCCAGCCACAATGGAGGGCCCCTGGAACCAATGGGTCCGGGTTTCCACCGCCCTCGCCAACAGCGCAACCTTGGACAGATCATAACGCCAACACCGATAAGACTCGGAACTGGTCAGGCAAGTTCAGCTTGCACAAGACCCTTGGAAACGGCGACAGTGGTGCATCGAATAGTTCTCATCCGCCTGCAAGGTCCCGCGTGCGGCCGGCGTTGTCACGGAGGTGGTCTAAGCCAGAAAATGGCGGGACGGTGATATTCGCGGGGCATGTAGTCCTCATTATCTTCGAGGTCATTGCGATTGTCATCGCCTCACAGAGCCTTGTGCGGGTCAAGAAATTTCCGGGACTGGTTCAGAGGGCCGAGTTTGTCTCGTGAGTTTCCGCCCATCTCACTCGTCGTTTTTGGAAGTCAGTCGACTCGGTAACACTGACACAAAGACACGCAGCATGATATCGTTGATATCCATGTGCGTCGAGGTTGGCGCTTGGATCATCGTCACCTTGGTGGCGTGCTCTTGCTTGGGGATGGCCCTCTCCGTTGCTTTTGCCGCCCTCCTCTGTCTCAATGCCACCGCGACAGGATCGTATCTCATTTTTGCGATGAAGGTCAACCTAGACAGGGCTCTCTGCGATGAATACGGTGAAGAGTCGGCAGAGTGCTGGGTTGGTCTGAGGATGGGCATGGCGGTGGGCGTGTTCCGTGTATTGCTGCTGTGAGTTCGGTACATGAGCCAGACTGGCAATGGCGTGGTTGCTAACGATTTGACAGACCAGTTGGCGTTGCGATTATGACAGGATACTTCATGCGAAGGAGGTCGAAGAAATATGAGAGATGAGCAGTGCCAAGCATGAGGAAAGCCACACGCAGACCGAAATCGCAGTGTCGAAAACGCAATTCGCCAAGTACTGGCTCTGTAGGTCCACAGTCTGAATGATGTATCATTTAGATCTGCGGTCTGGTCCCGAGAGTAAGGGAGGAGGACAAAGTTCACAGACAACCTTCAAAAGATGTGATGGTTCGCCAGGGCCGCACCGTCTGCCAACCCACAAGTTGACGGCGGGGACGACCCAGCAGAATGGTAAGGAGCAGCGGGCGCGACGGGACGTCTGGGCTGCCCCTGAACAACTAACGAATCTCTTGCCAATCCCAGCGAGTTAGCAACGTCTCCCTGCATGAGGATAAATGCCGAGTCGAAGTCAGAGTTTGACGGGAAAGACAAACGCGACCATAAAAAGTGAGATGATACGAGGTAGCAGCAGTGGAGGAACATGAGGGTCGAGGGAATGTTCAAATCCCGAAGTCTTATATCCGGATGAGAATCCCGCTGACGTGTATGCAAGTCTGCAACACAGAGATTAAGCCTTCAATAATTCAGTACTGTGCTCGGCTCTGTGGTTTTGTGATGGATGCATGTCTCTCCTGGATGGGCAAATGATAGTCTTCAATGCAACGTTCGAGTCCGCTTTCGCTCATCAACAGACAGGGCCGACCTCGCAGCAATGAGAGAGGTTTGCTTTTTTTCACTCATGTGGTGAGCTGTGCATGTCAATCATCGTCAAGCCACACGTCCATCGGCCCATCCACGAATATTCGTAGAGACTCGCAGACAGAGACATGCAGAGAATGGATGGGCAGAGCAAACCCCGTTGGCAAGCAAGGGGCAGAGGGTTGCAGCGGCATCTACCCATACCACCGGCGCAATTTCCAGCCAAACGGCACCCTCTAAGACGAGGCAGCTGCTTGTTGTAATGAAGTCAGGGTAGGATGCGATGACAAAAAAGAAAGGATGACAGCCAGGGCCCCGGTCAAGCCCTGTTGGCGTCTCCCCGCCGGGCTTCCGCGGTGGGAGCCACGGGGAAGAGTGGCTTTTAATTGCCGCCCAGGATCTCCCAGGAACTGGTGTGCCATTCTGTCGGGAACCCTGCGCAACCCCACCACAGTCCATTAGTGGTCGTATCACCATCCTGACACTGGTCTCTTTGTCTTGGCCAGGGATTGTAGGAGCGTCCGTCTGCAGAAGAGGCTTCGGCTTGGGACGATGAAGGTAGCCAGTTAAAAGTGTGACCGTTCCCTGTCTCGCCAATGTGCAGACTTTCACGCGGGCCGGAACCCAACGCTCTGGACTCGGGATTTCTCAAAGCGTGATAGTGGTCGCCTTGCTGCGCCGCCAGCTTGGGACTCGCTCGTCCTGTGTTGGCGTGCGCGAGAGTCCGAAAGAGAAGATCAGAGGATAATACTACTTTTCGTCCAACAGTTGGCGGACTTATTCTGAGCAATCTTTGCTTTTCCCGTCCTACTCACTGCCTTACTCAAAGTTGGCTGCTAGCAGCATTGATCATTGCTGAGTCGGACTCACTGGCAGAGAGAGAAGCCATACGCCTCGGTAGTATCGTGTATTCTTTCCTCAGGATGACCATAACGAATCCTGGTTCCTTTCCCGGCTTGGAAAACATCGAATATCATGGTATTGGCATGAGCTCGGAGGTCAACGTACTTGGCTTCTGCCGCGACGGATCAAGATCACCCGACGGATCCAGTATCAGCTTAGAACCGAGGATAGAGGAGAAGAATCTGTTCCGGTAACGTTCTCTCTGCTCAGCGTAACGAGAAATGTGTTCTAATCGAAAACAGCTCAGAAATTGAGCTCCCAAAACAAGCTTTCCGTCGGTCATCCGCTCCATCTCCTGAGTCCGTGGTGGATGTCAATGGAAGCACTGCCAGCAGCACAAACTTGCAGCATGACGAGACCAGACGAGTAGCGCGGTCGCGGCCTGCAACCCCAGCAACGCCCGAGGCTTCATCGTCTGATAGCTTGGCGACAAGAACACCACCAATCGCTGGGCCATTGGAATCGTACTTGGCATGCCCTCAATCGCATGAGAGACGTGCGCTTTGGCTGCCACCTAACAACGATGACGATCGAGAGCGAGACGCGAACTCTTCCAATTGCGGATCGGTAACTCTTGGGAAGAGAAGAGTCCCTGGAGTGTACGAACAGATCAAACGCAGCACGTCGCCTTTTGGGACCACCGGAGGCGCTGACGATGCTACAGCGGAACAGCCATTGACGCATTACCTGTCCTCAGTCCATCCCCACGAAGTACTGGCGTATCACATGTGGGAGCTTGCTTCGAAAGAAAACGAGCGAGACCCAAGCTTCGAGTTGGGTGTGCCCAGACTATCGGAGAATGCGGTACTGGCTTCGAATTCGCCCATATCTCCGGAGGCCAGCAGCCATAGGGAAGTCGATATCCCAGCAGCAACTGCAGTGCCGTCGCCCGCAGCATCCGTACCACAAGGCCCCATCGAGGTGGGATATGAACGTCGTGGTTCGGACTCAGCCATATCAGACCTGGAGACTGAAGAACTGTACCAGCTTTTGTGAGTAGAATTTGTCCATCGTCCTTGATCATACACTTTGCTGACGCTTGACAGGGGAGAACGGCGGCGGGCAAGAGAGGCGGGGAGGACCAGGACATTCCAGCCAGCGAGGGCTCCAAGGGGGAGAGTCGAGAAGTCGAAAAGAATGAGGCCTCGGAGGGCATGACGAGATAGCTGGCATGCCGAGGGGTATCCAAAGGCTACCTGCTAGGATTCTCCATACACGCAATAGTTGGCGGCGACGACAGCAATCGCGGGTGATTCAGTAGTGGTGTCTGGCGCTTCCGTGCTTGAAGTAGCGTGAGCTGTACGATGTTGCATCGTGGTTTTTATCGAGAGATTTCCTTGTGCAAGGGACGATGGCGAACGTTGAGGGCAGATCGACTCCCCTGGGCGACGTCTGGTCAAGACGATGAATCATGAGATTGACGGCGGATGATTCAACATGAAGGATAGATCCAATGGTATCGCAAATAATTGAAGTAATGGAACCATCCGAGAGGCCGAAGGAGGTGAAGATCCGCGAATTGAGGAAATCATATCATTGTCTGGGTGTAATCCGGTCCAAGTGGTGGGATCTGGTGAGCAAGTTCGCAAGCAAGCCGGCCACTGTCTCGATTGCACTGACTCTCATTGTATAGTGATGACCGACCATGGTATTTTTTCTCAAGTATCCATGCTGTCCCTCTGTCATTAAAGCGGACTTGCCGGGTTAGAAGCCAAGAAGGCTATAGTGGTGATGGGAATGTTGATGATGATGATGAACTAAAGGAGAGAGCAAGCTGGAGGTGGAAGGGGGACTGGAGTGAAAGGAGACCCTACCATGATTCCTTATCTATTCTTATCTAGGTACCTATCAATAGGTATCTTATCATGCATCTTATCTTATCGTAATCTTGCTTTCGAAGACTTCCATTGGGTTGAGCTTGGACGCGCCGAGCTTCGCACCCACCAAAGTGCCCGATTGCCTGCCAGTCGCTGTCGCTGTCACTGTCGCCGCTTCTATTGGAGCTCCGACTCGACTCATTACCATCGCATCACATTCACCACCGCCCGAATAAGCCCTCGGCATACCGACCGCAACACAACGGCGCTGCCAATGGCGCCGTGCGAGCTCCATGTATAGCCGCGAGAATAAGATCATGAGAAAACTCCTCGGCAAAGTAACTGCCGAAAGCAGCACCGACACCCACTCCATCGGCATCACCAGTGCGCCGCAATACCAGGCCTCCTACAGACCCAGTGCCTCCCAGAACGTCGTCTACCCTGCTGGCGCCCCCATTCTATGTCTCGATACCTCCACCGATCACCGAGCTGCTGTAATCGCCGGTAGACATGTTCTTAAGACCATCCTCTTCGACGGCCTGTCCGTCAGCGAAGGCACCGACCTCCGCGCCGCTATCAATTCCGCCTCGAGTAAGGGCGCATCGAGCTCTCTGACGGCAGACCAACTCTCCATTCGAGACGTCAAATGGCATGGCGACGCCACCATATTCACTGCCTGTGCCAACGGCAAGATCTTCTCCTACGAACTTTCGAGGATTGCGACCGGCGGTGCTGCGCTCGAATTCGTTCAGACGAGGGAGGATTCGCGCCAGGTCAACAGTCTCGACATCAACCCTCATAGGCAAACCACCTTACTCTCCGGAAGTCAGGATGGCCTGGTGCGGTACTTCGACATTCGCGCGCCAGTACAAAGCAGGTCAGGGGGACTCACCTACAGCCCTCGAGGGGCATACAAGTGTAATGCGGACGGAGTTCGGCAGGTTAAATGGTCGCCCAAAGATGGCTTCTACTTTGCCTGTGGCACTGAGTCTGGTGTCGTGCTCAAGTGGGATGTACGCAAGATTGCTCAACCATTGCTCAAGATCCCTGCGCATGACAAGGCGTGCGCCTCCATCTCGTGGCATCCGGACGGCAACCATCTGATCAGCGGCGGCTGGGATAGCAAATGCGCCGTATGGGACATGTCGAAGAACGCCGACAAACGTCAAAAGCCTCGATGGGTCATCTACACACCGGCCTCAGTATCTGCCGTGGCTTGGCGGCCTGGTCTTTGGTCTGCCAGCGCTCAGGGGAAACGTGCCGCCCAGGTGGCTGTCTCCTACGACGATGGCAGCCATAAGCGTTACGGTATCAACGCCGTGCATATCTGGGACTTGGCCAGACCCTCCATGCCATACAAGGAGATCGAACGCTTCGAGATTTCACCCTCGGGTCTGTTATGGCAGAATCAGGACCTTCTGTGGACCGTCGGCCACGACGGCTTCTTCAATCAATGCGATGTAGCGTTTGCCCCAAAAGTCCTTGACAGGCAATCTGTGTCGACCATGGCACTATCTGCTAGAGGCGATGCAGTCATGTTCCTCGACGAGCGACTACATGACCGCCCACGACCTCCCATTGTGCATCATCAGCAAAGCGTTGTGCCTCCACGGACATCCTACAGCTCAAGTCCGACGACGCCGATGCTGAGCATCAGCCGTAGTGACTCTGAAGAAGACGTTGTCGGCAGCTTTCTAGGGCCTCGACGGCGAGTGAGTAGAAAACGCAGGCATAGTCTGCGCTCGATCCCCGTCCTCAGCACCACCCCTCCATCAGGGCCTGGCCTAGGCGACGATCTCGTCCTGGGTCTTGAGCAAGCCATCAAAGTCACTGGCACTTACAAGACTCAGCAGTCTATGGCTGTTGGCCATGTGCCTGCAGCAGCAAGAGTCGATGTTTATCATTATCTTTCCAGCTACTATCTTGAGACACTGGACAAAGAGCTCCCGTTTGTTGAGGGAGCAAAGCCCCTAGCGCAAAGAATCGCCGGCATTATGGAGAAATATGCTCGTGCTTCAGAACACGTCAATTTATTCCGTCTAGCACAGACATGGCGGATTCTAGCCTACTCAATGAACCTTCTTTTAAGCAGAAGAGCGCAATTCCATCTTGAGACGCGACTTGGGCGATTCCAGAAGAGGCGGTCCATTTCCAAAGGCAAAGACGTACCTAAGCTGAGGGTCCCGAGAGCATTGGATGTTGTTGTGGAAATGAACGGGGAGGAAACCCCTCGACGACCGTCAGCTCTTACGTCCAATGGCATGGACAGCAAGTCTTTGGGGCCGCGATCCTTGCTCTCCGAAGAGATTGAAAGCACATCCAACGTTGCAACACCCATTGCGAGGGCCATCAACGAGGAAAATGCGGACCATTTTGAGGAAGCTCAGCTGCCGCCGGTCAAAGAGTTGGATAGCTTTGCTTTGCCCCCCGCTGCCCACAGTACGTTTAACATTAGTCCAAGGAGACGACTGGACTCGGTTCCTTTGTCTACTACAAGTCATGAAAGCGATCAGACGCAGGCCTCCATCACCGAGGGATACGACTTCTATGATACTGACGCCCTGTCTCAAGCGATAGATGTGCCCGAGCCAAAGAAAAAGGAGCAGAAGCCCCTGGACTATGGCCCCCGCACGCCGAATAGTCGACGCCCGTTGCGACATGACTCTGATGGTTTTTCTCAAATGTTCTCCATGTCCGAGAGCAGCCGGCAGACATCTGGCCTGGCATCATCTTCTGAAGGGGGTACATCAGCGTCGGCGCAATCCATCACCAGCTATCCTGCTCAGTTTGCACATCAAAAGAATGCTAAAGGGCAGGGCGAATATGAGAGCCGCATCCGTGGCAGAGAGATCGAGGACTCTCCCGAACATGGCGCTCTGGCGTCACTACATGGTCCTGGCGAGAGTGTGCCCAAGGATTCTCCAGAAGAAATCTTTATGATATCTCAGACGACCATGGCTTCTGATACAGCTACGGATGAACCGTCGACACAATCAGAGCTGGGATCACTATCTGCAGCCTACGAAGACCATGCACCTCTTCATGTTGGTGTTGCTGCGTCTAGCCCTCCGAAAATCGCCACGGCCCCTCAACATGACACAACACCGAATATTCTCGAATCCGACTACCTCCCATGGCCGGAAGACCCGTCATACCCACATCCTCTATCATCGAACCCAGAGGAGGGCCGTTCCCCGCCGCTCAACCCATATACCCTCCTCTCTCGCGCCCTGGATTTCGAAACACGGACATCAGCACTCAATGCCTCCGCCATGGTCCTACTGCTGAAGCCCCTCGTGCCCGAATCCGTCATCGATCCCCATCGCGCATCCTCCATCCTCCGGCAGCACCACTTGCGCCTAACAGGAATGAAGCTCTTCATCGAAGCTGCCCTCCTCCGCAAGCTCTGTATCAAGGGCTGGCCCGAAGGTATTCCAGACTGGGGCGAAAACTACACATCCATCTTCGGTCCCGCCCAGCAAGGCGTCAAGGGCGGCTTCATCTGCCCTAGCTGCCACAAGCCCCGAGAGCTGGACCCGTCCCTCGGCTCTAGGGCCCTGTGGAAATGCGACCGCTGCCGCACGACAATGGCCCCTTGTGCCGTCTGCGGCCACCGCGAGACCACAGCTACAATGCTCTCCCTCGCCGACGGCATCTCCGCCGCCCCGGCACCTGCTGACCCAGTGATGAGCATATGGTGGTACTGTCCCGGCTGCGCCCACGGCGGTCACGCGACCTGTCTTCAAGACTGGCACGCGCCCTCGGACGACGGTAGCTACGAGCTCAGCGATGGGTGTTGTCCCCTCGACGGCTGCGGACACGCGTGTCTTCCAGGTAAATGGCGCGACGAGAAGTCGACGACGCGCTCAGACGAGCTTGGTCGTGCGGCTGTCGAGAAAGTACGCATCGGCGGGGGTGGCTTAGGCGGCGGCGGCGTCGGCGGAGGGGTTAAAGCTGAAGGTGGACGGAGCCCCGTCATCTCGCCCAATGTCCGCGGCGACAGCGTCGAAGTGCCGCAGAGTCGTGCGGTGGAGAGCGTCCGCGAGACGTTGGCGAATGGTACACCCACATCAGGGATACTCAGTTCGAGCCCGGGGAGCCGGACTGGACCCGGGGAGCGCGAGAGGAGGAAGAGCGTCAAGTTTGTGCCGACGGAGCGTTAGTGGCAGCTCGGTCGTCTCTGGCGGTCTCTGTAATCGCTACAACAGAAGCATACATGTTGTGTCGGGTTGGGGTAGTTGATGTTTCACGGCGTTGGGGGAACATATGGGTGTCTTTACGCCTGTTTTTCACGGTGTTGCTACATGTACTTTTTCCACCTGGGGCATTGGGGGCATGGAGACGATTCCCACCGAATATTGTTCGATACGATTGATTCCAGCATTAGCAATTTTCACTATAGCGGCGACGAATCGCCGGGGTATCTCAAACAATGAAACCACGTAATTCGACCAATTTTGAACCATCCTGAATCTTTTGACGACAACTGCCATCAGTTGCCAGCGTTTTCTCTCATGCCCTTGGTTCTCAGCGACACTTTGAACTCGTCGAATGGGAGGCCCGCGGACCCGCCATTCTCGTGAGTGAAGTTGTAGTCGACGGGTGAATTCGTCCCATTGCGAACGGTCATGGCCTTCCTAAGCTCATCGCGCTGCCGGCTGAGCACCTCGCTGTCGGTACTGCCGCGACGACTGCCGCCGACGCTGCTCGAGTCCCCATCGCCTACGCCTGCCACTGACGAAGGGATACGACCCTTGAACCGTCCCGCCCAGAGACCACGGACGCCGCCACGCTTACGCTCGGGAACTTCTTCGGTACCGGCGCTGCACACGTACAAGAGATACTTGAGGTTGGGCAGTGTATGGCGAATGTCGACGACTTTCAGCCCTTGGCTTGCACAAAGGGCCTCGATGTTTTTATTGAGAATGAACCAGCCGTAGTCGAAGCGATACTGAGCCGCGGTCGAGCCACCTCGCGGGAGGTATAGAGGGAAATCGCGCTGTCGAGCCGCCTGCACCGAGTTCAGGTCGGTGAGCAGAGATATATCGTCGCGGATATGGGATCGTGAGCCGAAAGGAGTGATTGGGTATGGAAGCGGCACAGACAGGTAGTATTGCAGCGCATTGGTCAGAGCAGCAACATGGCCCAGGGCGGCGGAGAGAAGGTCATCGTCAGGCCCGCGTGAAGTGGCGCTGTCGTAGTTTGTATTTGGAAGGGGCAGTGCCGCTATCTGGAAAGAGAGGGGAGCACCAGTAGGACAGGGCGTGATCTGGTAGATGTTGCCGAGGTCTGCGCAAATGCGGCGTCGCTGACCGCGAATTGTCTCCTTGGTCTTGGCAAGAACTTCTTTAGATGCCGATAGGTGCTCTGTGGCGTCGACAATATCCTTTGCCAGCTTGTCTTGGAGGGCGCGGCCTTGGGCAATGGCCTCTCGACGCGACTTGAGAGACTCGCGTAGCTCTTCTCGCCGCTTTTCGGCTGCCTTCAAGGATCGCAGCTCTTGCGCCACATATTTGTTGGCCAGCTTTACCTTCTCCTCGGCTGCTGGTGTCTCGTTGTGCGCGGTTTCATCGAGGATGTCGTTGATTTGGGATGTAAGCTGTTCCTGTGTCGCAATAGCGTCTTGGATTGAGTTATCCAGAGTCGCGAGCTTCATGAGAGCATTGTAAGAAGATGTGTGGAGGGGTGGTAGCTCCTTCGGGTGCGTGGGCTTAGCCGGGACATCGAGCGAGTATATACCGTCGGCAAGGTGGAAGATGAGGCCGTTGGGCGGGAATTTGCGGTTCTGAAGGCTGCCGATGAAATGAAGACTTCGGAGATCGATTGTATCTTGGAGCAGCAGAGTCCAGGCTGTTCGCTTCGCCCAGATCTTGATCGTCATCACCGGAGACCGAGTGACAGAGGGGCCATGGTGGTTGAGATCGAAGAATTGAAAGTTAAAGTTCTGTTGGTCGTTTTGTCAGTCCAGCGGAGGGATACGTGGATTGGAACATGACATACCGTCGCATGCTCCTGCATTTCGCTGATATAGACTGGCTCATCCTCGTCTTCGCAATGCAGCGAGAAGAAGGCATCGGCGGCTCTACCATCGATGGTCAACTGTAGCATGCGCTGTCTCGTTATTGGTGTGGCTTGGGCCAGAGCAGTGCTGCGGCGGCGCAGAGCTTTGGGTCGCAGATTGTCGCTGGAGAGAGCATGTTGGAGCTGAGGGGTGTCGCGGAGAGAGTCCAGCTTTGAAGGTGTCTTGTTCAGAGCAGTGTCGTCAATGGTGTGGCCTCGAGGACGAATGAAGCTCAGGTTTCGGAGGTAGATGCCTCGAAGATGACGAAGCTTGCGGTTTTGAGGAATAAGGAGGGGGCGGGACTCGGGGGGAGGCATCTTGACTTGCAGGTCAATTCATGGCCGGTGGGGAGGTTTGCGTCAAAGATTCATGAGACCGTGTGTCGGTGTCGCAGCTCTGAATTGTGTTTTGACAAGGATGTGGTGTGAAGAGCCGCACGCCCAAGTTTGTCAAAGGATCGTGATGTCGGGTGGTGATGGTCGTCGGGTGCGGGCAAAGCTTCCCGGTTGCCCGTCCACGTTGCTGCTGTCACTGCTGCTGCTGCTGCTGCTGCTGCTGCTGCTGACGCAAGGTAAGGTACCTCCCCAAAAGCACGGTGCCACTGCTGCAGGAAAGAACGACCTCAGGGAGCTCCTTCCAGGCTGCTCATGAAATTAGCCCCACCATCGTCATAGCTGTTTAAGGTAGTAGACGCATAGATGCATTTAGTGCTTATATACTCAAATGACTAGATGAGTGCTGCATATATATCTTATGTGCATATCCTCCATTGATGCAACTGAGATGGACAATGTGGAACTTGACCACACTCCGTTTCTTTCCTTCATTCATATGTCCATTCTGACACATCTTCACATTTTTCCAAAGCTCTAGCATGTTCGACATACTTTCAATCACGATCGAAGAAGCGAAGCCTCTCGGCGGAACCATCGATTGGCCAAAGCTTGCGTTCCTTGCAGTAACACCCGACAATGGGCTGTCCTCGGCTAGACACGCCCCTCTCTGATCCCCAGCCATCTGTCAGTCGAGCTTTGGCAAGCTTTGGAGAGGAACAAGATCGATTAAATCTCCGGTCACACGAGGATACGCCCGTCGTATCGAGATTCCCTCCCCCGGTAGAACCGGCATCGCGGCTTGTCCCTGACGGCGAACTGCAAAGCGACTCCACCACCGATCGCCCCGCCCTCGCCGAAACCTTAAATCGCTGCCAAAAATGCCCAAGCTTGGCCGTATGGGGGATACTGGGGATTTTCCCGTCGTCGGCACATCAGCCTCGACCAGAGAAATACTGAGTCGTACGTCATCGGAGAAAGGTACATAGCATAGCCGCAGCGGCGCATCGAGCGATAGGAGACGGGCGCCTTGGGCTTGGTTCTAGATGCCAAGTGTAGCAGCTTCAGCTCCCCTCATGGATCTGACACTTTGGTTCGCCCATCCGTCTCACCATTGCGCCCGAGATTCATAGATGAACCACCTTCTATGGCCTTCTCCATCCCGTCTTCGGTCTATGTACTTCCAGAGCAACGTGGGATACCGCCCGTAGATAGTCTTGCTGAGTAACCTTGGGAAACTTTGGCATACGTCAACGAACATACGAGAAACCCGCGAAATACATTTCCTCAACGTCTGCCCAGCAGGTGAAGCTTGATATTAATAAAGGAAACCTGAGAATCTACTAGCCCTGTTCATCTCCTCCAAGCTAGTTCCTCACAGACCTTATGGAAATCCCACCAGAGCCACGACACATCCTTGTCCTCAGTAGAGACAACGAGGATGCTATCGTTGTCAACTTACTCAAACACAAAGGGTGTCTCACCCCGGTATACACGGTCAGTCATAACACCAAAATGACCAAAATGGGGATCCGGCGAGTAAACTGCGACACCATCTCCGCAAAACACCTCCCCATCGCCGCTGTCAAACTCCGCACACTACCCCCGAGGGTAGAGGCTACCGTCCGAGGTGTCAAGTTCAAGATGGCACGCAAGCACCCCTTGTCTAGCACCCTCAGCTTCCGCTTCCTGGGCGTGGGCGAGATGCGGTGGGAGGATCTGGGCAAGCATGGTAAAGGCATGAAGCTCATCGATTTCAACGGCAAAACTCTAGCTTTTTTCCGTCCGAGGCTGCACGCGGTGAATGCTGGTCCTAGAGGAGAAGAAGAGGAAGGATACAGTTCGAGAGGGAGTGGAGAAGATGGGAGCCGACCTACACCTGCAAGGCATACAAACACGATGAGCAAGGCCGGGTGGGGGCCCGGGTTCGAGCTGCATGCCGCTCTCGCAGATCTCGACCTAGATCTGGTGGTCACCACAGGCTTGGCGGCGGCAGAGTATCGTCGGCAGTTGAATGAGGACTGGGACCTGGTTGCGGAGGAGGAAGAAGGGGCGGAGACACGAGAGATGCAGGAGCTGGACAAAGCGCGCGACGGCTGATCTACTCATTACTCGTTCCATTATACACACATCCCAAGTTTGATCGTGTTCTATACCCTTGCTGAAACAAAATGGTATTCTGGGTATTGGTATTCCGCCGCTTCCAAATCAAGTTTCCAAGTTCGCCGTCGCTTGAATGCCAATGTAATACAAAAAAGGGTTTATCCATAACGCTGATTGCTTTCGACTCTCTCGTCCTATCTGCATCCTTGACCAATCAGAACCTCCCATTTTCGTTCTTTTGCCATTTCTTGCCAGATTTGACATTCTGCAGCTCAAAATTGGCTACGTTAACCTTGACATCCTTGGTGATGAGGACTTGACGCTTTCCGTCAGCCTTTGCCGCCATCTCGTCTGCGAGGTCGATTGGTGTGGGTGGCAGTTCTGAAGCCATCGAAGGCGTCTCGGGAATTTCGTGGAACTTGTCCTTTCCAATATTGAGCATAGAGCGTCTCGAGTTCACCGTCCCTAAGCTGTTGTTTTTGGTGTTGGTCTTGTTGCTGGAGAAGAGTTGCGGGACCTTCTGAAGCAAAGGCCGAAGTGCTGGAAGACTTGCGCAGAGGATGGCACAGAATTCCTCTATGATGGACCATATGACAATGTCGACGTTGTCCCACGTAGTGTCGAAAGTGCTCGAGAACATGACGAGATATTTCAAACGGACCATAGTTGTGATACAGGCACTGTGAACTATGTTAGTCACAACCGTCGATGATGATAGACCAATATGGCTGTTAAGCAAACTCACAATGAGCCAAGGCTGAACATGAAGCCCAGCGCAATTTTCTTCCTGATATTGAGCTGAAGCTTCACCAACTCGGGAATAGGCAGAACCAGGATCACCAAGTCTTCCACAATACTGAAGACTGCTCCGGCGTATCCGATGGCGGTCACGTTGAGACATGTCCGATTCGGGTTGCTTCTGTCCCAGACTGAAGAGACTGGTGTGCATTGGAACACGATGACCAAGAGAAATATCAGCCCGTGGAGCAGCAAAAACATGATGAAGTAGCGGACGGTGAGCTGGAACCACTTTGCCGGGAAAATTCGGGAGAAGAACAACAGGATCGATATTTTGGCGAAGACTTGAATCATGATGTAGAGTTGCTGAACGGCGTAGAAAAGCTTGAGTAATTTCGTTCCGGCGTCGAGTTCGATGTTCCAGTAGTGGGTTCCGAAGCCTAGGTCGGCACTCGCAATTTCGATACCAGCCAAGCCGGCTAGCAACATCTGATTTCTCGTCAGCTCTCGCCCTTTTTTTCCGTTGCTCAGAATTCACTCACTGTTGCGAAGATGGCCGTCCAGTCATCCCACCACAACTTGTTGGTGATCTTCCATCGTGATATGCACCGCAGCGCAACGACGGGAAATGTGATGACTGACAGGGCGATGGCGATGGTCTTCACCTCATTACTCCTAGACTCTTTGGGGTACGCATCGCAAAGACTTGTCTCGAGCTTCGCAGCGCCTGGAAGTTATCAGTATGCGAATATCGTGTCGATACTTGCAGAAACCTACGAGCTTGATCTTCGAGATGACATTTAAGTTGCACACACGTTGACAAATCTGACTGCAGTCTGATATTGGGACAGAGACATTCGGTCACGGTCGCAACCGATGTCAAGCTGCAGTTGCCCTCTTGTAGACCTTGTGTGATGCATGGAAGCTATCGCAATGAACATGACTAGTCAGCCCTACTCACTCCATACGGCTCGGAGAATATTTGACAAGGCCCCATGACGGGTATGCAAGGGCATGCAAGTACAAAAAGCAAACAACAGAGTTGAGCAAACGATAGTGACTTGACGTTGGTGTTGACTTACTGCGCAATTTGGGATTTGTGTGAGCAGGCTGGCGACGCTCTGTGCCTCGACTACCGAAGCAATACACCACAGCAGGAGCAGTAATAGCGAGCGCCGGCCATACCGCCTCGGATATGTGGTCATCTCCTAGATACCCTTGGGGAAATCATGAACGGAAACAAGTAATTAAACCCAGGGAAAAGCCAGTAGGGGAATCGAAGAAGCGAAGGGGGAAGGAAAAGGGCATCTCCCTTCTCCAGGATGTTTGTGTGACCCGTCCGTCTTCTTTAATATGAAGCAAGGCCCTTTATCCGACCTACTTCCTTCTACGAGAAAAAGAGACTGGAACGAATTAAGAAGGCTACGCAGTGGGCAGCATTGGACCCCTTCCCCTCTCCCACTCACACTTCCTCGAATCCCACCCGGTGGCCAAGACCTCTATCGCGCGAGTGCGCGAGCCCATCTTTCACCATGGCCAACCCACCACACACCACCCACCACACCCACAGATACCTGCGCTTGTCTCTGCGTCGACGCGGCAGACTTCCGGGCGAAAAGAGCAAAAGCGGGCTAGTCCACCGAGGGGTCAGAACTGCTGCCCGCTGCAGGAAGGAGAAAAAAAGAAGGTACGAAGTACGTGAAGCATGGTGCAAGGGGAACCCACATGGCGGGTGGGCTTTTCCTGACACACGCTTCTGCATGAACCCTGGCCGACGATAGTTTGGACCAGAAGAAGGACTGTCAATGCGTCTAGAAACACTCTAAGTCGTTTAGTAGAGCCGTACAATGGTTGTGGCTGTGTGGGCCGGCGCCGAACGCCCTCCCGTACTTCTTACTATTGTATAACTTGTATTATTGTTACTCAGGATCGACCATGCCCTCTTGGATCAACCAGACCTTCTTGTTGAAGAAAGGAATCAGCAGCGAATACAATACCTAGAATGGCTGGAAGCTAAGCCGAAAGGGCGTCGTACGGCCGAGTTGGTAGGGTCGCGTTGGGGGCGATGAATCGGGAAGACCTCCCCGATGAAAGGACCACTCTTTAGGAGCTTTATCACATTTTAGGCCCTGTCAGTGCGGGGATGAGAAACTTGCGATCAGCGACATGCCAAAAGGGGGACCCTCGCCTATGACGCCCCCCCCCCCCCCACCACCCTTTGACCATTTTCGTTCGAGAGATGAGCAGACACAGAAAGACAGACAGTTCTGTACAGACATGAGAGGGAGGGTGAGAGACAGCGAGTTCCAGCCACAGAGAGATTCGGACGCTACCTGTCGGCGAATCTGATGCCGCTCGGGCGCTTCAGGGGCAGCTCGTTGCTCACTGGCTGCGTCCACACCTTTGGACGGACACTAAGTGGTTCCTATATCGGGTAGCGGAGCGGATAAAGGCAGGCTAAATCCTCTGAAGAGGTCTGACCGGACGTCGAATTATCAACCTGTCCAATGACTCGCGACGGGGGGTTAATTAGGCAAAGCCATGACTTCACTTTGTGTTTGGTGATGTGATTAGAAGAGCATGAGAGCGAGGCCGGCACAGCCCGACTGACCAAGTTGTATTAAAAGCAGACGGTGTCGGCAGTTCCCAAATGAACACAAAGATGCAGTGAGACAGCATTCATTCCATAGAGATTCAATGTCTCAAGGTATGTTGTAACCGAGGGCGAAGGTTTTCTACCTTTCCACATGCGTTCAGCTTCCTTTCTAGAACCCTTAAACGTAGATTCCAAGTGACTTCTAGCGTCACGGCGCGCAGGATCTGTTCAATGTTGATTCCTAATCTGCAGATTTTACCCCCTTTAAATAACTTGGGACTGAACATATCAAACCACGGGCGAACTCTGTTCCAATGGTCGCCGGCGCTATACAGGCGCTAACTCCGCAGAAGCAGCATTTCCCCGGCGCTTGGGTCAGGCGACGCCTGGTCGGTCAGTGCCGGAGATTCTGGTTCTGGTGGTAATGACTTCCTTGCTTGGTTCTTCTACTCGATTTGCTGCTCTTTAAACCCGCGCTAGAACGGGAGAGGAGGTGGTGGTGGCGGACGGGCGCGGGCAACAACTGCAGCCGAAGTCGATGTGACTGCCCTTTTATGGATTTTGAGTTTCGATTCGGATCGTATTGATTCGAAGTGGCAGCACTTTTCTGAATCGCCCTTGGAAGCTGCCTGACTGCGTCGCCGCTGCACGTCATGATTTGAGGTTCGGATACCAGGTTGATAGGTCTTCGGAGTTGGGCTTTCGATGGGGCTGAGATAGACGCGGGCACCTAGTTTCTGGTTCCGTGTGTTCCCCTTGTTGCTTGACGTGGTGTTCGTGCCATCGTCTGGCCCTGCTGCCCACGGCGTACGGAGTAGATGGAATGAAGCAAGGACGTGGCCCGAGGTGGGGAGTTTGAATTTGGTAGTTTCAGAAAACCCCAGGAAAAGCACTTGGTACGACCGTACGGATAGCTTTCGCCTCCGTCAGTTGGTCGGTGGTGCAAGCCTAGGCTCTTTTAGATCAACCTAAATGTCGGTTTTCCGAAGGTCGAACCCGTACTTACTAGTCTCTTCCTTGCTAGTCCATATTGGATCTCAATTGAAGTCTCGGGTTCCTGGTAGGGGGGCGGAATTCCTTCCGATTTTACGTGTACAGCATTATATTACAAGTCGCATTGTGAGAGATCTGTCTCGAACTAATGTTAGCATGGTGTCTTGAATACAAAAACATGATTAGTTATTTGACACCGGCACATTGTCCTAATTACTCCTCGTATTTTCTGGGTCATGGGACGAGATATCTTGGTCTAAGTGATAGTGAGAGCTTTCATGCTCCGACTTCCGAGCTCGCCTCCATCGAAAATGCCACGGATATCTGTGCAGTTCAAGATCCTCGTTGCCGCGTTCCTAGTCCGACTGTCAAATCCTCCCAGACAGCTTGAAACGGGGCCCGCGGATCCGCAGTCTAGCAGAGTCAGTAGCAAACGCACCATAGCTGTCAGCCCTTCTCCCGGCTTTGGACCGCCTCGACCACTGGATGGTTCGACCACGAGCAAACGGGACAGGCATGAGACCATGTCGGCATGAGTCCAGACCACACCCGGATCTTTGCTGTCCCCACGGGAGCCAGCAGAAGCTTCGAAGATCACCCCATGGCAGGTGCTTGGGTTTCAAAAGCTTTGGCCGTATAGTCGTGGACGGATGACTTCAAGACCCAGCCCCGGGGATATAAGGCGGAGTTGTGACTGCCTACGTACTCTTGATTACCAGCGGCCGCCGGTCGCGGATGGAATCCCCATTGGCTACAGGGACACTCACCCAATCAAATACGATATGGTTTTCAGCACCGGCGATGCTCCGGTGCCGGGACCATCACCGGCTGACTGGTCTGCGGGCGTGCGAGTCGATATGGGAGAACTTCGGTGAAGTTTGCCCCCCCATTGCAGCTCGGCAGTTGATAACCCGCTGGTCTGGGGTGGATTACAGATACTGCACGGCCTTGATCACGAATTACTTACCGACTCAGGGTACTGTACGATGGCACTTGTGATACTCGATCGATAGATCCATGATGATGGCTGTCTTGTTTTATACCAAGTCCGTTCGCAACCGTCTTTTATCCGTTCACCGATCTGGATATATCCGCACGTCTATGTGGTAATCTCTCAAATCCATTCGTTGAACAACTCGAAACCGTAACAAACGAAAGTGACGCATGGTAACAGAAGAAACTTTCTATAACGCAATCCCAAGAACCTGATCTGCCTTGGTAGACTGAGGCGTCCTATCCCAACATTGTCCATACTCTTGCTGCTCTAGTCTGAGCCAGTGGAACTCTGGCTTGAAGTCCGGGTTGACGGTCCTTTCGAGCGGTCGATCCTTCCACGGTGTCGCCATCGGTCTTATGACTCGTGGTGCTACGGCGCGGCTAAAGGTTGGCTTTTCAGCAAACAACGTATATCGCAAAGACTTGCTTCTCTCCTTTCGAGGCGTTGGCGGCTTGTTGCGGGAGCACTTGGTGAAGAGAGGAGTAATCGGCGGTATTGACATGCAGGCGATACCGATGGTACACTCTGCAATGGAACAGAGCACCCAGGAGACCCAGTTGTCTGTGAAAGTGAATGTTAATGTCTGGACTCTCTCTATTTGAAATGCAACGGGAACTTACAAGTTACGTCAGAATCGCTGAGAGGCTCTAGATTGACAAGCTTGAGGATCGCCGCAGCGCATGAGCTAAGTCTTCTGTTAATTTAAACGTTCTTCTCCGTCCAACACCATCCCGGTCAACACCTACAGTCCAGAAAAGCTAAAGAGGATCGTGAGCAGAACTTTTATGCCCGTTGTCATTTTCATGTTCCAGATATACGGCAGCGGCAGAGTGCATAGCAGCATGTCGATTGCAATGTTCAACGCTGCGCTGGCATGGAGGAAGTCGATGAAAGGGTAGCAAGTAGCGCTGCTGGTTGACAAGTCCCATGCGGCCGTGATGGGCTTGCATTGAAAGATGACGGCGAATACGGACGCCAAGCCAAACCCTCCGGTAACGACCGTCGCGCCGTACATGATCCAGCGAGCGCTTTTATGTGTCATGAGTCTGAGAAAAGAACTGATGGCTGAGAGACGAGTGAACGCGATTGCGCAAGGGTATAAAGTATTGGCAATGAAAATGAGCTACAAGGCCGGTCAGTCGTTTTCTTCCACAAAGGTTGTCTTCCTAGTGCGTCCGCTTCGTAGTTCATACCTGAAGTAAGCTCTTGGTGTTATCAGGAAGAAATTCAGCATCGAGATTCCAAGAGTGCTGACCAAGTCCAAGGTCGGTCGCTGGAATATTCGTAAGTGACAGGCTTATGATGTTTTGTCTGACGAAATAAGGCCATACCGATGGGAAGCAGCGCGCATACCGCAAAGGTGAAGAGAGCAGCAATGATAACGAGTACGTCGTCGCTGAAGAAATTTCGAGTCACAGTGCAGCGAACGATAACCCGTAAAGGCACTATTATTCCGACGAGAACGAAAGCCGTAAGGTTGACCGCCCAAACCACTGTCACCAGACTCCTCTTATCACCAGTGTCACCACCCGTTCTGACAACCTGCAGATCTGATCCGTTGGCGAGTTCGCTATTCATATTTGGCGTATAAAATTGAAAGAAGCATATAAGTGTTATCGACAAATTATGTCGACACTCAATGTCGACAGCAAAGAACTGAACGGTGAAAAGCGCTAGGCGCGAAGAAAGAAGAACATATTTTTGCGGAAAAAGAGTAAATCCAACATCATGACGAAAGCGCGTCGCGTGGTGGGAGGCCATTGACTTTTCTACACAGACTCGAAAGTATTCTATGCCCATGCATCACGGCCGTTGTCATGAGCATCGACAAGCCACCGTGGTTTCACGAGTGACGTTTTGCGCCTCCTCCCCTTCGGCGCCACGCGAAAGGACAACAGATCAAAGAGAAACCTCACCGAGTGCCGCGTCAACGGGCGGGAGCTAGCAGCGACTTCCAAGGCACTACAGTGTGCAACGTCTTCATAAAATGCTTGAGGGTGTACGTGCAAACTCGTGTTTATGGAGCGCGATAAGCTATGGCCCTTTCTGCTTTTGTGCGAGAAGACAAACTCTTGACATTGAGTACGGATACAAGTAAGCAACATCTTTTCCATCTTGCAGATCATTTCGCACCTTCAACTGCACATCGTCGATTCAGTCTCCGAGTGAAAGAACGACGAAGAGAATTCCTGTTCGGAACATGAAAAGAAGATTACGGCTCAGCTTATCTCGGCGCCAATCGACAAGAGGCCGCCACATGACCGCCCTCTCCAATTCTTCAAGAGAAACTACGAGGAGAACAAAATTAGCAATCCCAAATTAGACCGACATAGCTCACCATTTTCAACCTAGTGCCTCGGACTGAGAGCAGACTAATTCTCAACGCACTGACACCTTGAAGAATAATTCTGCCTTTGCCGACTCACCTGACGGGGCCGGACCGTCTCGATGTGTTATCACGGCAGTCTCGACACGTGGGATACAGGCATCTCTGGGCAGTAGGACACTGGTCTGGAAAGCTTTTAACATTGGGATCATCGTGGCATATTATGATGGCCCAGGCACTAATCATGCATTCTGCTGTGAGATTGCGGTTATCGCGGGAGATCATCCTTTGTGAAACGTCAAGTCATTACTACTGGAAGCTGCGAAACGTCATTATTACTTTCTTAATTCTCGTGATGCTCTCAAACGATCCTGAACCTCATCTCTCAAGAGTCGGTGCGCGTGTTGGTGCCTTTGAGGTGATCTCAACATGAGCCGGCCTCGCACATTCTTTGGATAATGCTATCTTATGCACCCGGAAACAGGCCCTGCATGAACGACGTTCCTCCTTAGGTTTCGAACAAAAATTTATGCTGTCTTCTGTCGATTGATCGTGAATTCGTGTGTGTCTGGAAATGGGGTAGACGAAACATCCGCATGGAAGCCTAGCAAATCTCATCTACCATCATTTAATAGTTTCGTCGCAACTACCATTCTTGAAGAGGTGCAAGGCCGAGCGTCGACAAATACTTGTTCGCCTCGACTGTCGTGTGCTCCCACATACCCTTCACCTGCTTCTCGTCCTTGGCGACTGGATTCGGTGTCACGATCTTTCCAAACGGTTCCAAGTACTTACCCTTGTACTTGTCTGCGTTCTCGCGAACCTCGGCAGCAGTGGCCGCGAAGACGGACGTGACGGCGCCCTGGTCGACCGTGAGGAAGGCCGCCGATCTGACAAGCGAGAAGAGGGAGTTTCCAATGTCCTTGCTACCAGGACTGGCCACGCCACCCGGATGCACCGAGATGGACAGAATCGGGAGACCTTGCTCATCCAGAAGTCGCTGCAGCTCTTGAGCGAAAAGGAGATTGGCGACCTTGGAGACTGCGTAACGGATCATGTCGACCACGAAAATACGGCTAACGATATAGCGCCATTGCCACGGATAATAAGGTACAGGCTTTGTCAAGAATGAAGCGGAATCAAAGGTGAAGCCGTAGTCGGATGGCAGCATGGCATAGTTGACGTTGGAGCTGAGGGTGATGATACGGACGTCGGCCCCGGGTTGTTTTGTGGCTTTCTTGAGAAGCGGCAGTACGCCGTTGGTGAAGACAAAGTGCCCTACATGGCTAGTTGCATGGAATATTAGCAAACATGTCCACGTGGGTCTGAGGAGTACTTACTTAACACCCATGTGCCATTCCCACCCAGGACCCATCGTCTCCGTCGTGCCGGAGGCTAGACCGGCATTGTTTACTTCGAGGAGTATCCTATCAGCATATTTCTGCTCTCAACTCTAAAAGAGTACAGCGGCGACTTACTAAGAACATCCACCCTGGCCTCCTTGCTTTTCAGCTCTTCAACAGCAGAGGCGACCGACTTGAGGTCTGCCAAGTCCATGGGAAGCCAATGAAGGTTGGCGGCGTTTATTGCAGGGTTTTCGGTCGTCAGCACTGTGCGAGTCTCGTCGGCTTTGGCCTTTGATCTTGCTGTGAAGTAAACCTTGGCACCTCGAAGGGCGAGGTACTTGACGGTTGACAAGCCAATGCCTGCACTGCGGGTGTGTCAAAATGAATGCATGCTTTCTTCGGTTGGGTCCACAACATACTTCCCGCCGGTGACAACAACCACTTTACCCTCGAGATTGGGCATATCAGTGAGAGGATTCCACTTTCCAGACATCTTGAGCTGCTTGTTTCTCTCTAACTTATTGCAATCCAAAAATCGTGTAACCGAATAACTGTGTTCCGAGCAAGTTCTCTGTACGATGTTTTCTCCTGCCTTTGTCGCTGTACTTATTGTCTTCAGCGCGAAGGATTCATCGATCTGGCGCGTGTCGCGTGACTGTATCCTTGCCAGGCACACTACTCCAATGCCTCCCTTCTCGGACACTTATCAAACGTTGCTCATGTAATCAGCCCGTAGACCGATGCCGAGCCCGACGGGAGCGGAGACGACTGGGGGTTCGGATGGAGCCGCTGCCCCTTGAGTCTCGTCCGATTCGGGACAATGCTGACCTTGGCATTCTCCACCATTGCTGGGACGGTTCAACCACCTGAGATTCCGATTCGTGGAGAGTCTCGACGCTCTCCACCGGCTGCTCTTTGTTGCTGGGAATGGGTTGGAGAGACGAGACACATGATTGGCCAGGTTCTGCATCATTGCCATAACCAACCTGTAACCAACAAGCAAAGTGAGTCGAGGGCTGTCTATTCGTTCAAAGACCGCACGCGGTGGAGGGAGGAGGCGGCGGAAGAAGATGAGGAGGGGAGCCGGAGACGAAGCCCAACGTCGACAACACAGTCAGCTTTCTTGCATTCTCCAGACATCCTCCTCTTTCGATTCTGCCACACACCCATCCCGTCAGTCAGGATTTCACTCCTCTCATCTCGTGCACCAGAAACCCTTGTGTGACCGAGCGTTTGCTGGAATAGGCAAATGCCAACCTTGTCCCCAGATCATCACGGACGTCTCCCGAGCTACTGAGGCCCGCTCAAGTCTCCCATCTCGTACCTCTCGTCCCGCCCTACGGTTCAGTTCGATTAGCGGGTTCCCCTCGTCGCCTTGCGATTCGGTAACGAAGGCTCTTGGCTCCAATTTCGAGGTGATTTAGGAAGGGGTACGAAGGGTACGCCATCCGAGCTCGTTCAACGTCCAGCCCTTACTCGTTCGCCTCTCGACGACAGCGGTACACGGCTTCGCCCGCGATGCCGCCCGCGAGCAAGGGCGGCGGCAGGAGCCGGGAGGAAGGGTTCCTTTTTGTACCCATCACCCATCCAAGCGAGACCAAGGCATGGAAGAAAAAGGTCAGATCGCACGCCGCACGAAATCCAAAGGCCCGTCAGCAGCGGGTGGCCGCCTATCAGAAGTCAACCACACCTCCTCAGCAAGGCCTAATCGAAGATTCCCCGGCTCGCCCATCGATTCAATCTGTGAGGTTGTGGCTTGTCACGACCCTGAAAAACGGCTCATGTTCTGGCCACACCCCCCTTCTCGCCGGCAGCCCCATGTCAATGCTCGGCGCCGCTAGAACGGATCCATTCAATACCTTCGTCAGGAGGGTCACTATTCAGGAGCAAGGACTCCTTGACCACTGTAAGTATGCCACCTGGAAGCTTGCTTGATCATGTACATCAGCCTATAGAGGTGACGGGCCGTGACTGCAGCCTACCTTGCAGGTATAAAAGGGTGGGCTGCGGCATAAAGGGACCTTTTCCTGTTCCTTCCCGCTCATCCCGTTGCTTGCATGATCAAACTGCAGCTTACACCTCAGAAAGAGCGTGATGTTATGCTTGATTGGGCTAAGGCCAAAGCTGACTATGTCTGTATGCAGTCCTGCGCAGCATGGCGTTACTAGAGTTGATCCGCTTGCCAGAGATGGAAGTGATGGTGCAAGGTGAACGAACGGCATTTTGCAAGATGATGACGACCTACTGGGTGCAATCAGCCCTCGCCGATCCGGGAATGCTTTCTTTGGTACTCCTCTGGTCCATGCGACACCTTGCCACTGTACGAGAGGAGGGCTACAGTAACCCTGTGATGACGATGTATAAGATGGAGACGATACGCCAGCTCAACGCAACAATCACCAGAGAGGGAAACAACATCAGTAACCTCACCATGGCCAAGAGCCTTTGCTTGGCATCAGACGCTGTAAGAGATCCCCATATCCCTAAGGGTTCAAGATCACATGCCTACCTAGTATTAAGTGAGTACGAACATGACGTGCTAACACGGATCATTCAAGAATTTGGTTGGAGAACCTGAAGTAGCTGAAAAGCACTTGAAAGCCGTTGAACGCATGGCACTTTTGTGCACCGGCGGGACAAAGTCGGCCCAGGGAGAGGGGGATGAGTCGCTCAACGATCTGCAAATGTTCTTCAGCGAGAACGATCAGTCACCGGCACACATGGCACAGGTCAATCTCAGCTTCAAGTCAGAAGAATCGAAAAGAGCTGGGGGAGTAAACCGGAACATGGACTACGTAATACGTCCGACGAGAACTCCGACGAGAGCTGCCTAAATTACTAATTTCACAAACAACCTCATGATATTTCGGTGCTTGATGCTAATGATCTTGTTGATGTTTTTTTTCCCCGTCTCATCAGAACAATGCTCATACGCGCCCCAGCGTGGAACCAATATGACAATAAACAGGCTAATTACATGTGTGCGCATGACTTATGAGCCCACCCCCTGCGGGTAGGTAAACAAATTCTTGGGATCAAGCTTAGCCTTGATAGTCTTCAAACGCCCCAGATTATCCCGGTAGTACTGATCTTGTGCATCCGCATTGCTGAGCTGGGAGTCGGCGTAGTTCACGTAGCGACCCCACTCATTAGTTGCCATGGTGTTTGTTACTGAGGCCATCCATTTGCTGAGAAATTTGTACCCAGACTTTGGGTACGCAGAACTTCCAGAAGAGTCATAGAACTGCCACATGAGCACCTTGTCACGATGGGCGTAAGCTGTCGCCGAGTTTGCAACCTGGGCTGTCTTGGTTTTGCCACCATGGACATCGATGAGGACGAACCAGCCGCTGTCCGTTGACTTTGCTGTGTTCTGGTAGTAATCAGCAAAGGCAGCGAAGCCCGCATTCGAGACTGTCTTGGTCATGAGACTCGAGGCATAGAATGTATCTGATAGACTCTGCGGTCCGGTCTCGTCAAGGCTCGCTGAGCCGGCGTAATGCTCCAGCTGACCGATCCAGTCAGTCTGGGTGATGGTAGCGCCACCGACGTCGATGCCCAGGGGTGAAAGGAACTTCTTCAGCACAGCGCGTGTCTGGTCCGCGGTTCCGTAGTAGAGGCCGTCAAACGCGGTGCTGTCGGCAGTGACGACGGCCCGCATATTCAACTCGATAGGCTTGTCGTTCTGTGCATACTTTTGAAGAGCTACGAGAGCCGAAGCCAGCTTCTCCTTCTTCAATGCTGATGAGACCTTGAACCATGTGACAACTGAAGGGGCTGCGAAGGTGTTAAACTTGAACTCGGTGACGATGCCAAATGACGATCCCGCGCCACGAAGGGCCCAAAAGAGATCCGTATTCTGGGTCTGTGATGCTTTGACGACCTTTCCGTCGGCCGTGACTACGGTCGCCTCAACGATCCAGTCTTGCGCAAGGCCGTACATGGAAGATGAAAAGCCGAAGCCTCCATGCAAGACATGTCCCATTCCGACACTGCCAAGTCAGTGTTAGCCTCATTGACAGCTGACCAATGTACTTTTATGCTTACCCAGGACATGATCCATGTGAGATAGCCCGGCCTCCCTGATTAAACAGCTCCGTCGCGATGTGACCGAGCCTCGCGCCCGCTTGCACCGTCGCAGTGTTATCGGAATTCAACGTCACGCCGTACATCTCGTCCAGCCAAACAACGACATGGCCGTTTTCGCCGCCGAGTCCCGCCGAAGAGTAGCTATGACCGCCGCCTCGGGCCGTGACTTTGAGGTTATACTGCGCTCCGCACTTTACGGCAGCCTGCACGTGGGTGACATCGGTAGCCGTTACGACAACGGCTGGTGTATATTGCAGACGAGAGTTGTAGGGCCGAATGTCGTCGGACCAATCTGAGGATGAAGATATGGCAACTGGTGCCTTGGCGGCGTTGAGACAGCCCTGGACTGTGTTGTTCGATGTGCCGGGTTTGCTTGCTGCTTCGGGCAACGGCTTAGCCACGACTGCGTGTAAGCCGCCAAGAGCCAAGGAAAGAATGATATTCGACCGCATATTGTTAAAGAATGTGGGTGAGCTTGGCTTGAAAGATGAGATTCGTGATCCAGCTCTCCATGCCATGTAGGTTTATATGTTGCCGAAGAGACTAGGACGTCTGTTCCTGGTGTTGCAGGCCCAGACTCATTCGCCTCCACGGGAGCGGTAAGAGTTCGGTAGGGCCGCTCATCATCTCTTTGATCTTTGAACACGATCCGAACAAGCTTCTCCACGGTGCCGTCTGGATTCGTGGGGTTTCTGGGGACCAGACCTGACAATGGAAAGAGGCGCCAGTTCCCGAATTGATGACTGCACTGTTCTTTGTCTGGGATCTTGGTCGCAAACAGTTTAGCCTGGGGGTCGATCTGTTTGCACCGACGGAAACGGCCAAAGACCAAACCAATCGCAAATTTAGCCCACTCAAACACGAGAAACGAGGTGCTAGGTGCGGCAAGGTGGCCAAACCTTGGGAAGCTAGATAAATATCCTAGAGAGGCGCTTGTCTCGGGCACTCCTGGGCCGTATTCCATCCTACAGTCCTCCGACATGGCCTATGATTTCGAGGTTTACAATGCTCGTGGGACAGACCCCAACTCAAGGCGCGCTCGTGAGACGTCTCGTCATGGATGAGCTTCGAGGCGAATGCTCGTAATTGAGTCTAGCGGAGGAGCAAGCCGCAAGATGACTGCATGTATTTGATGACCCAATCCCAGCATAATGATCCTCAGTCACTGCCCTGGAGGGATGGCTTAGCCCCTACTCGATTATAGGATGGTGCCACACATGGTCCCCATCTCAACCTCTAGCTCAATTGAGGCCTGGTAGCGTCGGAACCAGGGGATGCGCATTCAGTCGCCATAATGACAATCTCGCCAAGCGCTCATAGAATTTGTGTTCTCGATGTATCAATTAAGTACTACGAGAACGTGATAAGAGGAATGATCATTTGCTCTAGCCTACCAGGCTGTCTTCGCGTTGATGCCGTCAAAGAGCTGGGTGCCTGAGCCTAGGAAGGTGACATGTTGACCTCAGCGATCGGGAAACACCACACTAATATCTCACTCGATTCCTGAAGGATCTCCATGACAGCGCAACATCTGCGCGCCGCGATATGGTGGGACGCACGCTGAATTTCTCAACCTCTCTTTGGCTCCCACTCAGTACCTATGCCTACGGTCGACGTCCATGACTATTCCAGCCTCACTCGTCTGGAATTGGAGATGATCCTTCATTTGGGGGCGAATTATGAGCTGAGCAACCTTTACAAGTTTCTGCAGGTTTGGCAAGTATATAAGATAGATTGAATATCAAAGATTTTGACGATGTTCCGAGTGCGACTCAAGTCACAGCTTCGTTCTGAGCCTCATAAGTGCCAACGACATTCTTCGCGCTGTTTTTCTGGCACAATGTTGATGAAGTTATTCAGCATTTTCTTCGTTGCGGGCATTGCTCTTGCAGTAGACAAGCCAGTGAAACTTGAAGTCAACGCACAGCTGAAGACAACGGCCACTGAGCTCGAGAAGTTGCAGCTCGTCAAAGACGACTATGTATTTGACTTCAGGGAACACGAATACTTCACATACTCGCCCGGCGGCGTCGTGAACGCCAACGCAGCAAACTTTCCCGCGGCAACTGGCCACGGGCTGACTGTCGCCTGGCTCGCTCTTGGGCCCTGTGCCATGTTGCCGCCTCACTACCACCCCCGTGCCACCAACTTCGTGGTCGCCGTTGAGGGCCAGACCCAGACATGGATGATACAAGAGAATGGCGCTGACCCGGTCACCACCATACTCAACCCTGGGCAGCTGACCATCTTCCCCAGGGGTAGTCTCCACACCATGCAGAACACAGGTATGTTTATGGTTCTTGACGGGGCGGCACGAACAAGTTCTTGGCTAAGTCTGACCCCTTCTTGCAGGGTGCGGTAATGCTACGCTTATTTCAGCCCTTGACTCCGATGACACGGGCACCTTGAATATACTCAACGGCCTTTTCAAGTTGCCCAATGACATGGTCCAGGCTGCCTTCGGAGGCGTTTCGGGATCAAATGGTACCGAAGGGAGTGGAAGTCGCGTTCCTGGTGTTGGTACCGGAGCTGCTCTCGGATCCGAAGAGTGCTTAGCTAGGTGTGGCATGGGAAACCACTAGAGTGAGGAACTAGAACGGCGATGATGCCGGGAATTTGCAGGCTGAACGGACCGTATTAAATATGAACTTATAAATCATGTGCTTATTTTTGCTTTGGTTTTATTTAGGTTGACAACGCGATTGAGATAACACATTACTTCGTTAATGTTTCTTCTGTCTGGCTGTGAAGTCATAAGCATGATTCATAGATTATTCTTTAGGGAGGGCTGGAGAAGTGTCACACAGCAGTCACAATGAGTAAAAAATAATAGCCGGGATTTTGCAGTTTCAATACACGAATATCCATGTCCTTCTTCTCGTGAGCTACTCATACAGTGAGTTGGAACATTCTGGTCTCCCGGTCACTGTACCAGAGTCCCCATGACAGGTACTCAGATGTGATTAGTGAGTCAGTCAAAGATGGCGATGTTGCATCATGTTACCTTGTGGCTCGTACCCTGACAATGAGAACAAGCCTTAGAGCTGTGGACAGTTCCTCAGAAACCTTGTGAAGCTGAAGTTCCCATTGCAACCTATATGACTACAGCCCACATAAAAGCTTGTCAAGCGAGCATGGAAGCGTCAGGAGCTTAGCCTGAAGTTCCACAGGATTCGAAGGGTGGCAAGACCGGACTAAGCGATGGCCAAGCTAGTCTATCACTCGACGGACTTGACTGCCTATAAATCGACATATAGGGAAGACCTCGCGCCTAGCCCTAGACAAGACGATCTGTGCCAGGGAAGGAGCTATCCATATGGAGTCATATTTAACAATATGACTAGCTTTCCTATAGGACGTGGTTATAATACTCACATAGATTGCTTCCCCACTTGGGTGCAACTCAAAACACTTCGAAGCCTTGGTGACCCCGAGCTGCGGAACCGAAAAGCTCCCGGCCATCACAGAGCTTATTCTATCAAATCCAGTTTCACAAACCTAAAATAGATGCCAATATTTCTCTACTAAAATGCTTGTTTGCAATTGAAAGTGACCTTGCATCAGGAATTGTACCCAAGAGTCTTAGCGATGAAATTAAGGTTATTTCGAGAGCCTGGGTTTCAACTCTGACCTGCCCTGTGAGGACTAGAGCCTTGGACAGGTATACTGCGCCCTCTGTCCATACGCGAGTCACTACCTTAGGCCATACTGACGGAAAAAGTTTCCGTAAAACAAGTCGTGAAGTTGGCTGTGCCATGGCGGCTGTTCGGCGCGCTTGACAAGGCTTGAGGGCGGTGCTCCAGAGAACAAGGTTCCATGCTAGAACCCACGCGCAATCCGCGCATTCGTGCCCTGAGTCGGGATCCTGTAAGCGATGTTGCAATTTGCATCTTCAAAGACTAGTATAGTACACCACGAGGTTCATGATCCTGGCCCGGGATGATGCTGTCACCACAACCCAACTAGTCATATCCCAGATGGATCGCGGATGGATTGCGTTGGACCCATGGGCATTTGATATCGGGAGGTTTTATAGATTTTTGCTGTCATCTCGTTGAATTTAAAACCTTCGGAGTCCGCTCTGTTATCCATACCATTTCCATCCATCGATCGCGCCAAGAGGCTATTGAACTTTTAGTAGTCGAGCACTTCTCGACGTCCACTCTTTCCTCGCCATGAGTCCTTCTCTTCTCAACACGTTTTCGGCGCTCTTCTTTGCTACATCCTTATTGCTCCACGTAAACGCCGCGGCGCTATCGTACAACTTCACCCAAGAGGCGATTAATAACGGCGACGCCCTTGCTCAGCTTGCTGCAAAGGCTCTCGCTAACTCCAAAGCTTTACACCAACGTTCGGGAGCATTTGCAAACTCAACATGCCCGCCGGACAAGGTTCGCGTTCGCCGAGAATGGAGAACGCTGCCTGCTGAGGAACGCAAAGCCTTCGTTTCCGCGATCGAGTGTATGCAGAGTTCCCCGAGCTTGTATGAGCCGGGAGTGATGCCGGCAGCGAAGACTTTGTACGATGACTTTGTGGCCATCCACCTTAAGCAGACCCCTGTAATTCATAGAACGGTAAGAGCGCAAAACCAGTGTAAGCGGTAAGATATATTGCCGAATGCTAACGTTTTTCTCGTTCTTCTGATTAGGCTAATTTCCAGCTCTGGCATCGTCTGTACACTGATGTGTTTGAGCAAAAGGTCCGCGAATGCGGTTATACTGGTAAGCTCGCGTAACTGCCTCGTCTTCTGTCAGTATACAATTGACACAATATGTTAGGTACATTTCCCTTCTGGGAATGGGGTTATGACGCGGAAGACCCTACGCTGTCACCTCTCTTTGACGGATCAGATACATCCATCGGTAGCAACGGCGCATTTGTTCCTCATGAAGGCCTCGAAATTCACCAGGCTTACACCAACGTGACCCTCAAGCTTGAGCCCGGATCTGGTGGCGGCTGCGTCATGTCGGGTCCCTTCTCCAAAATGACTGTCAACCTTCCAGTCGTTCAGAACACCGACACCCCCCTCGCTGCTGACCCGCGCTGCCTGCAGCGAGACCTGAACAAGCACGTCTCTTCTCGACACACTACTTTCCGAAACACGACGCTCCTTCTTACTGAGCACAATACGCTTGAGTCTTTCTGGGGTTTTTTGAACGGCGATGATCGTTACATTAACCCCTTTGAGCTGGGAGTTCATGCGGCTGGCCATTGGCAGCTCGGAGGCGACTCTGGCAACAACTTCTTCATCTCTCCGGCTGACCCGGCGTTCTTCCTGCACCACAGCCAGATCGACCGCGTTTATTGGATCTGGCAGATGCTTGATTGGGAGAACAGGCAGGATATCTTTGGTACTGTCACGATGCAAAACATCCCCCCGAGCCGTAACGGCACTTTGGACGACCTTGTTGATCTTCGCCCGCTGGCTGAGCCGAGAAAGTTGAGGGACCTGATGAGCACGTTTGGTATTGGTGGCTCCCCATTCTGCTACGTCTACGAAGGGTGATTGTTTTTGTGGCATCAGATCAAGACTGCGTCAAGAACATGATAATATTCATTAAAGGGCCTAGACTGCCTGTCAATTACTCTCCTATGTACTTTGAATACTTCAACCATACTTCGTCCTTCTTCAATCCCTCCATGTCCTCGTCCCTTAGACATATTGCAAGTGCGATGCTGCCATCCGGTGCCTTGGGAAGTAGGTAACCAAGGCTTTCCACAGGTGTGAACTGCGGTCTCCGGACCGACTCAGGCTTGCCCAATCCCAATCCAAAGTCGTGCTCATATAGATCGAGTTTCGCCCAGGAACTAAAGGCTAAATCTCTATCAAGACGAAGGGTGCCGGTAAATGAGAAGACACTCTTGTCGGTTGCTTGGTTCATGAGTGTCGCCAAAGCTCGCACTCCATAGCCCAAGACCGAAGGATCCACAGTTGATCGGAGTTGAGATGCCGCTTCCCCTAGTGGTCTTTCGACGAGGGTTTTGATCGCCACGGAGTTGTTCGTCATGCTTTGGATGAGAGCTGGGAAAGTTTGAGGGATTCCCATGTATCCCCGCACATTGATAGCTCGGGCGAGCTTAGTTTCCGCGTCGTGAGCTAGGCGGTTCGTACGAATACGACTGATTGACTGCCACACGAAAGCGGTGACGGCATCGTCTGTCGAGATGAAACCCGACTTGACCGTCTTTGAAGCCAACGATTTCAGGGCTGACAGAGACGCTGCCGAAAAGTCAAAATAGGCCCAGCTGCATGTGGCAGGTGCCGTGGCTGGCGTTGTTGAGGGCTTGATGATCATCGCAGCAGTCTCCGGTCCGCCCTTGTAGTCTTTGAGGAGGGGAATGATGTTATGACGTGTCAGGTTTCCAGTTGCCACTTCCTCCCCAGTGAATTCTTCACCCTCACACGCCTTGGACAAGAGTTTGATGAGTTGGCCTTGCCCGGTGCCATCGAGTACCTGATGATGGCCGAGGAACGCGAGAATGAGCCCGCCTTTGATCAAGGTGGCTTGGGTGATGAAGACCGGCTCAGGCCTCCCTACCAGATTCGGATCGATGGGAAGAGTCGGGCGAGGACAGATGATACTTTCGTCCAGCATGCTAAAGGGGAAGTTTGAAGTCTTCATGTCTTTCATCGACGAAATTGATGGGTCTTCTCTCAAATCCTTGACAATCAAGGGCGGGGTCGCTTCGTGTGGTGCGATCTTGAAGATGCCTGTGTTACCTTCGCGCGCGCCCTCGTTGATGATCTGCCCTGCAATCCAGGGAAAACTCGCAGTCAGCCGCTTGAGACCGCTCGACAGAGTTTCGGTGATGTTTGCGTATAATTGATCATCTTTGACAGAAAAGCAGACCGCTATCTGGGTGTAGATCTTCAGACCTGGCTGTTGGCCAAGAATCTCGATGGGTTCGTTCATGTTGCTTGAAGTGGCTTGATGGCAATGAATACCAGGGAGTGCAGCCTTTTTGTTGGATATTGAAGAGGTCGGGGTTTATGTACTGAAGGAAGTCGAAGCAGGTGAAGTCGGAAAGATTGGCCGTAAGCCCGTGGTATCTTCCATGCCCTGTTAAGACCAGCATACCTATTAATAAGTCCCGATAGGTGGCGTAACAACTGGTTTAAGTGCTCTGTTCCGCCCACGAACCCTGAAAACCCACTATGAATCATCATGGCTCACTACAACGGCCAACTCTTATTGGTCTGATATTCTTACGCCGCCCCCATCTCGTTCTGACGACGTCTCTAGCTGGAGTACGAATACTCGGCAAAATATCCCCTCATTAATGACTACCTTATTGAAATGGTCGCTATCATTTGTGTCCATGGTAGTACCTCAATCCCGGAGAACAGCTGAGCAATCAACAGCGGTTTCCCCCTTAACAGAAGTGTGCGAACTAATTGCGTCCAAACAAAACCCAGACACTGTATCAAATCACGGCGGTTGGTTGTGGTATTATCGTATGCTCATACAGATTCATTTAGGAGAGTATCAAAAGTTTGAACTTGAACTTTTTATTGGCACATGCTGTTTGATATCTAGACACTCTGTTTCCATCTGTTCTTCAGAACCTGGGTTTTTAGTCTCGCTTCACGCCTAGTCTTCCAACACTTCTCAACCCCCATAGGCTCACGGCCACAGAAATAAAACTCAGCTCGCAACTAAACCACCATCCAGCATGGTAACCTCGAAGAAGTGCTTCTTTTGCACCGACGCTTTTTGTAAGCGGTGAAGACACTTGCTGCGCTATGACAGCGGTCGTGGCAATGCCGACGCTTTTACCAATCTGGGCGACCATGTTGAACACACCGCCCGCCAGGGCTTGCGTCTTGGCAGGGAATGCGTCCGTCACGACAGACATGGCAATGGTGTACATCATATCTGCTCCAATGGAATTGATGGCTATTGCTTGGAAGACGGCTTCCCAGTAGCTGGGGCCATTGACCCTGCACAATGCTGCCAACAGGAGCGGAGCGAGTCCACTCACGAAACAAGCAACCGGGACGGCATAGGATGCCCTGAGACGTGACAGAAAGACCGCAACGGCGATATTCGTGAGAATGCCGCAGACGGGTGCTGGAAGGAAGTACAAGGGCGACGTCAACGTCGAGAAACCACGAACGTCCTGTAGGTACAGTGCTGTAAGTTGCTCGCTGGCGTTGAGGGCACCCCAAACAAGGAAAACTGTGATGCATACCGAGGTGAATGATTCGTTTTTCCATAGCTCGTTGAGTATCAGAGCTGGCCGCCCCTGTAGCTTTTGGTGGTGCGTCCAAAAGACGTAGACAGGCAGGAAGGCCACACCTGTCCCGAGGAGCACGATGTTGAGCGATTGACGCATGTGCTTGCCCGCGTCAGAGTCCGTAACAATACTCAGCACATAGGACATGAAAGCCAGGCTCGTGCTGATGATCAATGCTCCGATCCAATCCAGCTCTTTTCGCAAGCGGGTGAGAGTATCCCAGCCCAAAGGCGCGGCGTCATCAACGCGAACTGGAAGTGCCCACAGAGCAATGGCCAAGACGACAACATTAAGAATCGCAGTGGTATGGAGCCCCCATCGCCACCCGACAGTGCCGCTAAAGACACCGCCAAGGGCAAGACCTAGTCCAAACCCAACGGCTTGACCACCGTCCATGGTAGAAGAAGCAGCAGTGCGTGTACGCGGCCTGGTGCTATGAGGGAAAGCTGACGATACGACGCCTGCGGCGCTGGGTAAGCACATCGAGGCCGCGACACCCGCAAAAGCGCGGAGTGCGATGAGCTGGGTCGAAGTTTGGGAGAGACCTGCGCCTTGGGCGCTGCCGGCTTGAAGCAGGGCACCTAAAAGACAGACGCGCCGGCAACCGAGAAGGTCAGCAGCCGTAGCGCAAAGAAGTAAAGTACAACCGCATGCCAGCGCAAAAGCGGAAGCAGGCCATAATTGAAGGTCAGCTTGTATGCCTATGTCCGCCGCAATTACCGGTATGCAGACTGTCAGCAAGCCGGCCAAAAGGGTGCTGATTCCGGTGATGCATGTAATGGAAAAGATGATGGCGGCTGAACGGCTTTTTGATGGAGTCGAATTGACAGGTTCCGCAATTGTTGATGACGGGCCTGAAGTGGTGCGAGCTGGGTGGGATATAACCTGTCCCAGTTCCATCGTGTAAGGTAGTATGAATGTCTGTCATCAATGAGCAAAATACTTCGCTGGTAAGAGTCGCGATGGAACTCACTCACAACTATTCAATCTTGGTAGGCGAATATAGCCGTTTCTGGAACAAATACGGAACAAGAAGCCACGGTGTAATGCAGATATAGTTACATTACTCAGCCCATCAGAGAGTGTGACTTGACAAATGCTCTCTCCAATTGCCTTTAGTAGCCCAAAAGAGCAAGTTCATTGTCTGTACTTTTGTAAACGACCGATCTAGGCCCATATTAATCTAGGAACCTCACTTAGGAAGTTCAACCCCGTGATTAATGCAGTACTTATTTAGTAGAGAGTTATTGAAGCCTTAGTGAAAATAGTCTTACTGATTTTGTATTGAGTACTCTACTAAGAAAACTTTCAAAATAACTTACGAACCTGATTCTTCCCTATACTTGCGAAACATTGGGAGACGTAAAAGCTTGGCCCGTAGTATATCTAGTGTTTGTACTTCCTAGACCAGCAATGCGTAATTGCCTCTGAAAGACAGACAGTAGAGTATCTTCACTACGTGAAGAATCCCTAGCCTTAATGCTGAAAGCAAGCTTCCGAAGCATTGGAATGGAAACTGCCATGATTGTAGCTGATATCTCGGCGCTTTCCCAGATGAACAGGTGATTTAGCGTATCTAGCGATGTATTATACAAGCGTCAGACCGAAGCAATAGATAAATTCCTTAAGTCTCTGGACAAGGATACTCAATTCGATATCGACTTACCCGCGCTGGATGAATCAAACCCGAAAAGATATATTACTTTGACCACCCCAGTTGCACCAGCGCTACATCTCTCATGCATGGTAAGAACACCTAAGTACGGCTATATTTCATTGTCAAGGGAACTCACAATATTCCCATGCTCATAGCTACACAGATTCCTACCCTTTCTCGTGTGCTGAGATGCATAGGCCAAACTATTTTCCAAGGCAACAGTGACAAGAAGAAGTCCATGAATGCAGAATATGCTGCGATGAGTTTAGTAAGACGAAAACCGAACCTAGCCTGTATGGAGGCGCTTACCACCAACAAAAATACCAAGTTTAATCGACATCTGGAGCGGCCAGCATGGCGGAGACGCGCCTGCAACACAGGGGTTCAGAAACAGTGGCAACCAGACCGCTATAAATAGGTTCATCGAGAGGACTATAAACCACAATACCCATCGTAAAGGTCCTGTGACTAGGCGCATAAAGGTCAAGACGAATGACGTCTTACTAAGTCCCCATGCCAGATTAGATAGTACTGCAGCTACTTTACTAATTACGCTTAATTCATGAATAGTGAGGATCGCCGCAAATGTGGCCCGACTGAGAAGCACAGTACGGAGGAATAACTGGGCAGTAAAAAGTATCTAAAGTTTGCGTTGACTGGTCAGAGCTGACATGCTTCTGGAAGTGATGCGGGGAGTTCTCACCCATGCTACCACTAGGCAGTAATCATCAGCAGCGAGCCGACAAGCCCTGGTCTGGACGATTCGAGTATATATCCTGAGGACAAGGAACATAGTGGCAAGAAGAAAAAGTACCGCCAGAGACGCGATTCCCCTGAGAATCGAGGATGGTAGCTTATCAGCCATTGTTACATACGAAGTACAACATGGGCTGCCGTGTATCGATTTGCACTGGTTCAAGTAAGTTTTGTGCGCGGAAAAGCTGACAGACGATATGGAGAGGCGACCAGAGCCTTGATATACTATATTTTTGTCTATTCTATGAGTCCTGTCGTATGCGTCAGGGCAGTGACTATTTGCCCCCTAGCCTTGGGGAGCTAGATGACTAGCGCAATCCTCATATCAGCTACCATTCCTTCCTAAGGTAGGTCGCGTAGGCTGGGCGCTGAGAAAAGCAAAGATACTGTGATCTAGTGTATGGGTGACATGGGCCCACTGCACGACACCGTTGACGTAGGCCACACGAAGCCACTGTGTTGATAGGTATCGCTGTCTGATGCGGAAATTCTTCTCAGCCGCCATAGGCCATTGACAGCATTCATTCAAAAGTATAGTTGCCTTTGTTAAGTCGTGCGGTCACTACTCACTTTTGATAGGATGCCTGATGCACAATTCATTCACATGAGACATGCCTGACCTGTCCCATTTGAATATTCATCTTGAAGAGGATCTTTTCCCAGATCCAATTTGTAGCAATGAACACCATACAATGTCTTGGAGACTGGTCCAAAGACAGCCCAACAAATGAGGCCCAAGCCTTTCGATTGGTAGTGTTCCAGTTTTACATCGCTCTGAACACTCCCCCCGCTGCTTGTATTTGCGCTACACGTTGTAATTAACGTGACAAGCTGTCCTCGTCTTCAAAGTCTTACTATTCTTCGCCATCAGTTGAGTTGTGTTCCTGACAAAAGGTAATGATCAACGAGAAGTACCCTGAGGCAATGGGGGAACATGTCAGCGTGACGTGTACAGTCTTTTCCTCGGGCATGGTTACCCAAGTGTAAAATTCTCAATCATGAAGCATTTCCTCATATTCATCGACTCGTCAAAAGCAATTATGTCTGGCGGAAAGCCTGCCACAGGAACGTGGCGCTTGTTGGCCTTCAAAGTTGGCCAATGGAGGTAGACAGATATGTTTTCCACGTCCCTTACATGCCCGACTGGATCAGATTCAGGTACTACGGCGATTCGATGACCGCAGACGCAAGTCTCCTATTTTGTGCGATCGAGATCATCGAACATAACACTAAAATATCTACTTACAAATTCCGTTCAAGATATTTCTAACACTCATTTTAGACCTGAAACCTGAAAATAGCGGCATTATCATGATAGAAAGTCTTTTGTAGAGTTTTTACTTACTACTTTTACTAAGTAGGGATTTTATTTTGTGTTTGTTTCAAGAAAAGAAAAAAGATAGTCGAGGGGAACGGGGATCACACAATAGGCACGGTACATTTTTGATTTTGTTGCTCGGTTGACGCCACCCAGTCTGCGCCGCAAGCTTACATGCACCTTTGGCTGGGGGGTTCTCGACGCTTATCTATATCAGTTTCGGATGTTATTACTCCTTAAACTAGACAAAAGACTCCAGAGGTGGATGATTCCGGGACACCTCGGAAGTTGAGCGCTATCCACATGGCCTGCGCCTGAAGCCGACTATGGTTAGCGACAGTAAGCAGCGGGACAACGGCAACCAGAGCGCTAAACCTGCATGCCTGCTCAGGCCCTGGACTCAGACACACCCCGGCCAGTCGGCGGGTGAAGCACCGACTTCTCAGGCGCCAGGTGCCGCTCCGATCCGGCCAGTCGGCGGGGGTTGCTACCGACACCACAATGCGAATACGACATCGAGCTTCGTGAGACGCCCTAAGGCTGTCCCCCAAGACCTACACTTCGTCAGCCTACGTCCAAAGCCGTGATGGTCCGGAGTGAACAACCACCGATAATATGGGTATCGCTGGAACAATAATCAACTATATAATAAGAGCATATCTCGGTGTACCCTGTGAGGTTCGTAGACTCAATTTTCATCATCATCTGTTCAATCAACTCTAGCCCCGCCGTTCATCTTACAATACAGCTCAACCAAGTAATTCTTGGTCAACAATCTTGCGACCATGACACAAACACAAACACAAACACACGGCACTTGCGACCCCAAATTCCAAGAGGTGCGTAAGCGACTCCAGGACAATATCGACTGTGGGGAAGAAGTCGGCGCCGCCATTGCTATCAACATTGATGGCAGCGACGTTGTAAACCTGTGGGGTGGTTACACGGACAAGGAACGCACCAAGCCATGGACCGAAGACACCCTTGTTACCGTCTTCTCCTCCACGAAAACCGTCCTCAGTCTCGCGATCCTCATTCTCGTCGACCGCAAAGTACTCTCGATCAACGACAAGGTCTCAAAGCATTGGCCTGAGTTCGCCGCCAATGGCAAAGAAGATATCGAGATCCGCCACATCCTCTCTCACACGTCAGGGGTCTCGGGCTGGGATGCCGATGGACCGCTCTCGTTTGAAGAGATCTCCGACCTTGACGCAGCTGCAGCAAATCTCGCTACGCAGGCACCGTGGTGGGAACCCGGAACCGCGTCTGGGTATCACTCATTTACGTTTGGCCATCTGCTAGCAGCCATCGTCCGTCGCGCGACAGGCACAAAACTAAGAGACTTCATCATGGAAGAGATCGTGAAGCCGCTTGACGCAGACTTTCACTTTGGCGTTCCCGACAAAGAGCTCCCTCGGACGACGGATGTTATTTCCGCGCCTATGCCTCCCCTCAGTCCTGGCATGGGCCCTCAGCCGGGTTCCATCACTTTCAAGACCATGAACCCCATGCCCTTCCCCTCGGACTTCGCTAATGGCCCTACCTGGCGTCAGGGTGACATCCTCGCCGGGAGCGGGCATGCCAATGCCCACGCGCTCACGCGGATCCTCTCGATCATCAGTCTCGGCGGCAGCGTCGACGGCAAACGTTTCCTCTCACAAGACACCATCAATCTCATATTCGAGCAACAATCCAACGGATTTGATCTTGTCATGGGCGTGCCTATGCGTTTCGGTATTGGATTTGGCATTACGGGTGAAGGTGGTACGGCGGTTGCTGATTTCCTGCCCAACGGACGGATTTGCTTTTGGGCAGGCCTCGGTGGATCATTCGTCCTCATGGATCTGGACAGGAAACTCACCATTGCATACGTGATGAACAAGCTGTCCATGACGGGGTTGGGAAACAACGCTGCGAAGTCTTACATCAGGGCCATTTACAAGGCATTAGATGAGCAGTGACATAAGGTCATGGAAGGTGAATTGCATAGCACGACATCATGATTTCATCGAATAGTTATGATGCAAATTACTTAATGGCACAATATCATTTGCAATTACTATTCTCCCAAAACATTTACCTCGGGATTCAATAATGATGAGATCAATATCGCAAGGGTTCAGCCCAAGAGTAGGACACCGAAACCGTTGCCTACGTGAACCCAAGCTTCTCAAGTTCCGCACACAGCAGGCAGAAGTTTGAAAATAAGCTTCTTTAGATCCATCAAGTGATTGCAATTGGTTGAATGAGAGATCTAGGCTCTAGCTTAGGCTCGCATCGTTGAACATCAATAAGGCCAGTTGGCCAAGATCATGGCCGCGAGCCGGACTCTCGTTCCAACCGGGTATGCAGCATTTCCCCACGGCAATGCGCCAACGGTCCAGTGAACTGTTTTTGGGGCCCGCATAATTCGGCAATTCTCTCATGACGACTGGCTCAAATGGGGTTTTCAGATAACCAGGCAGCAAGTATTCTGATGCCGCTTTTTCAACTCAATCAACCCCTCATTATGATGTACCTTAGGCAGCAATTTATCCCGAAAGCGCACGACACTTGGCCAAGAAAAGACTAGACAGATTCTCTTGTCTCAGTGGCTTCAAATGTTTGGTAAGTGGTTCAAGATTATAAAAAGACTACAACAGTTTCTATCGTCACAACAGGTCCGATAACAGACTGTACACTTTACCGAACACCCTTCTTGCCTCCAGTCTCGCTGCTTCCAATCCGATTAATCTTTGCTTCAAAATCTAGATCACAAAACTTTCTCGAACTTGAAATAGACCAGAAAATGTCTGCAATCACTGTTGTGCTCATCACCGGGGTCAATAAAGGTGAAAACTTGTCCTTGCGTTGATGCTAAGTCTCAAGCAAGTTGAGGTTTTCACGTCCCAAATCTAATGGCGCTCCAGGTATTGGCAAGGGACTTCTGGAAAAGTACCTCGCTCGACCGAACCATATGGTCATCGGTAGCGTGCGGGATACCAAAGCTCCAGCATCCCAAGACTTGGAGAAACTTCCCAAGGCAGAAGGCTCCCGGCTCCTTCTTGTTAGCATCGATAGCATATCACCAAACGACCCTCTCCAAGCGTTCAAGGACGTCGAAGCAGCCGGAATCAAGCATCTAGACATCATCATCGCCAACGCTGGCATGGGCCCGATGCCACCCAAAAAGCTGGACACCGCAGAAATCGAGACCATAGAGTACACCCTGCAGGTCAATACTCTGGGCCCCATTCGTCTCTTCCAGGCTTTCAAGCCACTTCTCGACAAGTCCAGTTCGCCGAAGTGGGTTTCGGTATCGAGCGGTGCTGGTTCTATCACCAACTGTGAGAAGTACATGGCGTTTTATGCCGGTGCTTATGGTGTGTCCAAGGCCGCTCAGAATTGGTTCACTGTGTAAGTAATTACGCAAAGTCGGGTGGTGGACGAGCTCCGGAGATGAGATCGCTCACAAATACTTCACAACAGAGCGATTCATGCGGGCAATCCTTCGCTGGTCGCATTTGCCATTCATCCTGGGTAAGTGATTGCTGGGGCTGAAAGATGTCGACAAAATATGCTGACCTGAGGCGTAGACATGTTCAGACAGAGATGGGTAACATCGGTGCGCGCATCGTGGGACTCAAAGAAGCCCCGCATACGATTGAGGAAAGCACCTCAAAGACGATAGACTTGGTAAGCTGTTCGCATGTCTCATGTTCTCTTCAAGTCGGTGGGACTTATGTTGGCTGACTGAGCTGTTGGTAGATCGACAACGCAACACGCGAGAGTACATCGGGCAACTTCATCAACGTCATTACTGGCCAGGAGATTCCTTGGTGAAGTGCCAGCAACACATGCTCCTCTCAAAGATGAAGTCGAGAGAGAGAAAGGTGCCCATAGTTGATCCAACAGTCTGGATTTCAACAGCGGCAGAAGCTTCCGAAGTGATCTCTGCAGTAATTAAGGGGACTTCAATTATATGTGTAGACTAGGGAAGATAAGAATCATCCCTTTGCGACCATGGCATGGAATAAGTGATGATCTACTTCTCTGGCCCAACCTTGGTGTCCTCATGAGCAACAGCATACAGGGGCTTCAGGTTCCCCATCTTGTCACATGCAGAAAACTTCCAGCACTTCTTTTTGAATTGGTAAGTAACGTGTCTGCATATGAGTTTGACGACTGGTGGTGTGGGAGGCCAATTTGTCCATTGGTGGTCTTCAAAAGCAATATCGTGGTTTGATAAGCAGAATGGCAGACCTTTGATCAAGCCGAGAGCTTTCTGCGAGTTAGAGGTGCAGATATCAGCTAAACGTCAATGACAGGTAATTCAGGGAGACTTAACTCACCATGCTTTTCTCTCCTTCCTCCTCAAAAGTTTTCTCTAACGATGCCATCTTATCCGCACCAAATACCCTGAGCTCCAGGATACTCGGAATCTCATCGCGAAGATGCTTCGTCAACACATCGCCAAAGCCATCGATCAAGGTCATAAGCTTTGCACTATCCAGCTTATCCTTCTTGGAGACACATGAATCGACGTATTGCTTGAAGCTTGCCAATGAATCGTGAAACTCCTTGTGTTGCGTGACGTTGCCATCCATTAGCCCCTTTTGGCCTGACAGCTCGTCGATAGCCGGGAAGAAATGCTCTTCCTCGCCGGAGTGGTGGACGTGCAGCAGACTGTACCAGGCAAGGATGTACTGGAAAAAAGCCTTCGACTCGGATGCCTTGACGTGTGGTGCCTGGAGGTAAATTGAGTTGAGGCCCCGTAGTATCATATTGTGGACAAGCGCCATCTTGGAGGCGATGCGAGTGAACATGTCGGGCTGCTTGAGTTAGCCATTAGTCCAGTTTTCGCTGCTTTACTTCAAGATACAAACCTCGGTAACATCCTTTTCACTGGTTGAGTTTTGGTAGGTCGGCGTGGGTATTAGAGAATAAGGGTGGTCAGCGTAAATGCAAGTGGGCGCCATGGTTGATGATGGGAGTATGAGCAAGCCCTAACGTGAATGCTACCGAGAAATCGAATTTCTCTGAAGACTACCATGTATCTATGCAGCGCGTCGGGAATTTATCAAAGTTCCTGGATTCGATCCAAGTTTGCACGAACTCCATGCCTATCCCGAACCGAACGCCACGTCTAATTTTGTCACAGCGCCGGCTTGCTATCATAAAAGCTACAGCTTGAAGCGGAAAGTCGGAACGCTTGAGTCAAAGACCAGGGACACCAAACTCTCCCAGTAGAGAGTCTCGAGTTAAGCCAGCTTCATTGCCCTTTTTTCTATTGGACAGGAGCCCATCCGTATCTTTCAGCCGTGGCGCGCTGCGGCGGCGCTAGTCACATTAGGAGATGTCTGAATACCGTGCCGACCATATCCACGGGCATTTGGCGGGACGCCATAAATAGTCTGGATTGAGACCGAGCGCCTACGAAGATTTGTCTTGGAACTGTCGTTGGAAAATTGAAGAGGCTTGCTTGGGGCCTGGAGCCTCCATGAATTCTTTTCCCCTGACAAGACACCCACAGGCCGATACACAGCAGAACACCCCCCCCCCTCCCTTTCATCATTACCATTATCCTCACTACCAACATTTGCTATCGGAAATACACTCAGAGGAAGACCGAACATGAGTGATGGTAGAGATAGTGGCCATGATAGAGATCGAGATAGAAATTACAAGGTAGCGATAGAAGTCGAGGTGATACTAGGAACAGTCCCTCAGGATGCTTTGGGAGGCAAATTATTTCTGTATCTACTTTCTCCTGTCTGGCGGAAGACCGCGAATTGATAAGGCATCGCGTTAGTTCCTTTCTATCCTGGCGTGTTTAATTTCGACGATAAAATTGGAGTCTTGGCGATGAGATAAAAATCTGAACGACCAGATGTAAGTCTCAATTATCTGACTGAAAAACGAGATCGAATTACGTCTTGTCTCAATACCGATGAAGTTACACGTAATGCAAGAAATTATTAGGAGAGGTCCATGCCGGGTCGGTCCGGAGTTGTTCCACTTTCCCGGTATGGGTGGGGCCGAATGGCCAACTCCTTAGCCGAAAGCCCGATGCTGCTGCCGGTGATGGTATCAGCACACCGTGTCAAACTCTTCAACAACACAAATCTTATCTTATCAATCTCTTCTTATGATGGCAGTTTATTTCTCCTCGTGGCTGATAATCAGGACAAACCCTTAGTTTCCCAGCTTCAAGTTGACGTTTGTCATGTATGGTGGAGAATCGAATAGTATGTACAAAGTGAATATGTACGGCGAAGTACAGGTATAAGCATGAAGCTACAGCCAGTTCAGACGTCCCCAGAGCACCTTCCTTGAGTTACATAATGCGCAAGGCTGTGCTGCATCTCCAACCGCCTCACGCAACATACCCCTTCAGCAAGGAGTTGTAGTACGTGTAACCAGTGCCATAGGGAGGCTCGAAACTATAGATATAATCGCCCCACCAGGGCCCACTGCTCCACCAAAGGGCCCCGGTCCATACGTCAGAATTGGCCTTGAGGTAGTCAAGCATGCCCTTGACGGCGGTCTGGCACTGGGAGTTGGCTCCGCCCGCGAACTCGCCCAAGATACCGATCTTGCCGTTCTGACGCAGCCAATTTGTGGCAGCAGTGACCCTTTCGACGCCAATAGTAGTTGAAACACACGCTGTTGACGTGCCGGAGCTGTCTGAGTCGAGGTACTGGTGCATTTCGTAGACGATCTTGTTCAGGGGGTCGGTGAGGGCCTTCATGTTGTCGTTCACAGTGACCCACGACCAAGCACCGGACCACTGGTTTCCTTCGACAAAAATGTACTGGGTTGCTCCTGCTGCACGGATACCGTTGATTGCAGCCTGGTTCAGGTTGAGTACAAGTGTCTGGTCCATGGTGTTATACTCGTTGTTGGTATCGAAGATAACGTGATCATTGTTCTTGAATTGGGTGGCAAAGTTCTTCCACCACGTTTGGAAAGCACCAGTATCGGTGATAATGTTGTCGTAGAACCGTCCGTAGTTGTGGGGGTCCAAGACAGCCCAGCCTCCGCTGGAGGTAATATGGTTGATGACGGTGGTGAGGTTTGCCAGGTACGCGGTGTTGAAGCCTGCCGTCAGGGAGTTGGGGGTCATGCGCTCCATCTTGAACTGGACGCGGAATGTGTTATAGCCCTGGCCACGAAGAGTCTAAAAAGGTATAAGTACTGCATCCCACTACCTAGGCAAATACTCTGAAACTCACAGTTATCGTAGATGGATCGGGGAAAATGAAATCCGTGCCCCAAACACCAGGCAGCGTCTTCTCTCCAAATTCACCACCGGCCTCGTTGACACCGAACCACTTCCAGCCGAGAGAGCTCACAGGAGGAGAGGTTGCTGTGGCGGTGGACTTGGAGGTAGAAGTCGTCTTCGTAACGAGCGTCGTTGTAACCGAAGGCGCGGCCGTTCCAGGAAGACACTGGCTGTACCACTGGTTCGCAGCGGTGCATACAGAGCCGCTGACACATGTCGTCGCGCCGGTCCATCCCTGACCACCACATTGTCCGTACAAGGGCGACTGTGCAGCGACGGCACCGATAAGGGCTCCGAGAGATACAAGATACTTCATGGTGAGTGAGAGTTGCGTAGGCTCTTTGCGACACTTGGGTATCTGGATGAAGAAGCAAGTGTGAAGTATGTCTCGGCACACATCCTTGGCTGTCTTCTTATATTCTAGGTCCCCAGATGAGCATGTCCCCTACCGAGCTTCCGTTAACCCAGACTCCTATCTTCGTCGGCTCATGGAACCTTCTATTCCGTGGCACCTTCCCTCTTTCACGATCACAGTCGTGAGCCCCCGTGGGGTCGCATGTCCCGCCCGACTCGCTACCGTTCTCACAGGGGGCATCTCAATGTCGCCGTTTGCGAATTTGCCTTATATCACCGGCTCAAGACTCCGTGAAGATAATGATATAGACTAGGGACCCTAGTCCGTTTCCCCTTGGGGGCCGGCATTCCTAGAGCCGCAGGTGTCATAGACTCGTGGTGAGGACGACAGCAACGTCGGACCGGCTCACTGGAATCACACAATCCAGAGAAGGGGCAGGTGACCTCGAAGAAATGCGACTACGTGGGACCAATAAGAGTGGATTTCATTTCCAATAGTGGAAGAACGGGACCTGCGATGTCGGAAAAGTCACAGTCTTTGGTGGGCGGTCGACCCGGAGTAGCTGCCTCCGAGGTTGCATCGGGCCATCGGAACGCACTTTACAACACATGACTATGACTCGAGCATTTTTCGGTACCGCAAAATGTGATGAATCCTTATTCGCGATCCCACCAGTGACGAATCCGACTGAAATGAAGTTGAGAGTGGGCGCAAGGGGTAAGAAGGCCCGGGTCCCGCCGCTGGATGTTATCGTCACGGCCGTCGATGCGTCCCAGTGCTATCATGGAAGTTGGCTCATCCACATAGACTCGGTTTGGCAAGAGCAATTGGATTGCGTTGGCGCTGATTTGAAAGTCATGAAGATTTTCAGTCTGGCCATGAACTTTGTGTTGACTTGGGTAACCTGCGAATTGAGCCTTCGGAGAGTTCACGGCTTGGCATCTTGGCGTCGACGCCGGTAGCCACCTCACCAACGTCTGTAGCCAATGCCAGATGCAGGTTACGGAACATGAATGCCGAGACTGTCGTAGATCTGTGCGACCGAAGGACCTTCTTGTCCGAACATCATCTCATGCCGCGATTGACGTCTAAGAGGCGAGGGGATGTATGAGCGTTACGAAAGATGGACACACCAAGCAAAGGTCCAACGTGAAGACGTAAGGACTCGTTGAGATGATTGGTGTGGCGGAAAGAAAGCATCCCGGAAGAATTAGATGATTGCTGTTGCCGGCCATCACGTCTTGAGATAGCCAGCGCCCACGCGATCGCGCCTTCGTCCCACAAACTTCACCATAGATGCTGGCTTCGAGGGTTGACAGATGAGTGCACACTTCACATGAACAACAGTTGGACGAATGGCAATTTCGCGAACGAAGGTGCTGGATAGGCTTGCCTTCCCCAAGAGATCTATATCGCCTTGCCTTATCATCCTCGAGCGGAGGTATTTGGTCATGACAGACACAATGATGGTATTGCTTTCTATCCACTCAGGGGTAACCTAGCCTTGCCTGATATGGAGACCAACTCCAACAAGGCTTGCGACATCTTACACAGACCAACTGCTCGACCACGGGCCCAAGAAAGGATGCTCACAAGTCGGTTCTGCCCAATCCAGCCTTGTATGCCGATAGGGCTCGCTCACGACATCCCTTATGTTCAACCATAGGCTCGGGATAGCCTGCTTTCTTCGCTTGAGCGCCCGCACCGCGGTCGTACGGAGCGTGGATCGCCTTGCCCTTGATGCCCTTCAGCTCAGGCACCCACTTGCGGATGTAGTCCCCATCGGCATCGAACTTCTCGCTCTGAAGGAGTGGGTTGAAAATGCGGAAGTAGGGCTGGGGATCTACACCCACGCTGGCGGAGAACCCCCAGCCGCCATTGTTTGAGGCGAAATCGCCATCAATGAGAGTTTCCATAAACACTCGCTCGCCCATGCGCCAGTCGATGAGAAGATCCTTTGCTAGGAAGCAGGCGACGATCATGCGACATCGGTTATGCATCCAGCCCATATGGGCCATCTGGCGCATCGCCGCGTCGACAATGGGGAATCCGGTCCTGCCCTCTTTCCAGGCTTTGAAGTCGTCCATATCGTAGGACCATTCGATGTTTGCGTACTCGGGCTTGAAAGGCTTGTTCATGCTAGGTAGGACTCGTTAGTGATCAAGGCTCTAAATTTGTGGACGGAAGGGGAACGTTGTTCGACATACCAGACATATGGCCAATTTACCAAGACGTGCTTGTAGAAGTCTCGCCATGCCACCTCGCTGATCCATACCCGAATCCCCTCGTTGCCCGCATCCAGCTTCTTGGTCTTGTTGCGGTCCCGAGCGTACCGCACGCATGTCCTCGAACTGATGGTCCCACTGGCAAGATGCACTGACAAGGTGGAGGTCCCCGCGTCGTGAGGGATGTTGCGTTTGTTGTGATACTGGCCAATCTTTTCCTCGCAGAACTTCTCCAGACGGCTTCGTGCCTCATGTTCGCCAGCCGGGAAGAAGGCACGGTAGCGCTTCTTCTGGTCGTCGTCGAGCTTCCGGTCCACAACCTCCTCTGGAATCTCCGTTTCAAACAGCTTGCCGTACTTCTCCCTTGCGCTGGACGGATTCCTCGCGGGCGGGTCGTATAGCTCGAGAAGGTCCAAGTTCTCGTGGACGTGCCGGACCCAGGCCCGGAACCAGGGTGAATAAACGGCGTACTGTTTGCCTGCCCCGCTGGTCAAAAGTCCGGGAGGGACGACGCATGTATCGTGCAGCACCTCGTACGAGAGGCCCTTGTCGGCAAACATGCGGACCATCTTCCCCTCCCGGCGAAGCTCGTCCACCTCGTACTCCATATTGGCAAACAAGTGACTGGCCTCCCATTGATCCATGAGCTCAGCGATTCGTTTGGGAATCCTTTTGCGCTTCTCAACGGTCTCGACGTAGAGCGGAATGTCAAGCTTGGCGAGGTCCTCCCTCAGAACATGCAGGGTCCTGAGCATAAAGTCGATGCGGATGGGGGCCGTTAGATGCGCTTCATAGTCCTGGGGGCTGACAATGAACAAGGCGATCAGTGGAACCCCGGCCTCCTTGGCCTTCGCGCTCGCTAGAGAAAGCGATCTGTTGTCTGTTGTCCGGAGATCCATCTTGAACCAATGGACGACGGCGTTCTTTGTCTTGACTGCCTTTCTCGTTTTGGAAGTCTGCTCCAGTGCGGAGACGAGCTCCTCGATCGGTCTGGGAAGCTCGTTCTCGTTGTAGGCGCGTGCTCGGTCGTTGCTCATCTCGTGTGGGTAGAACTTGCGGAGGACGATTCCATGCTTTTCGGCGTCTTCGTGGAACGGGTGCGGCTTGCGCAGGGGATCTCCACCATTCTGCTCCGTCTTGGTTCTCTTTCTCCCAGAGTCACTGGATTCCGCAGCCGGCGCCGCCTTACGCTTCTGCTTGGGCGGCATCCTGGTGAAGTAGCGAAGATGAGAGCGAGGATTCGCTGCTATGAGGTTGATCAAGCTCGGGTGTCGAGTGCTGCAGAGTGGGCGAGAGCTGCAGAGTTGAGAGGAGCTTAAGGCGGAAGTTGAGGTGAAGCGCGAGGCAAAGGCAGAAATGGCAGTAGTAGTAGCAATCGCAACACGAGTGTAAGAAGTAGCTAAAGGTGGAAGGGCGTTGCTGGGAAGCAAGACGCGATAGGCGTGCATAAGGTGACGAAAGTTGTAGTGTTTCTAGTCAAAAGACTGAATATGAATGGATTAATTGATTATTGCATGGTTCAAAATTTCCTCTGGCCCTCCCATCAAGCTCTTCAGCCTGTGGGCAGGAGAAATGGACAGGATCCAGCTGGAGAAAAGCTCCACGATCGGCGCGATGTCTTGTGCGTCATCATGTTCCTGAAATCGGGAGATCTGGACGTGCATCAGCTCTAGCGTGCCATCCCAGCTCCCAACGCCCTGGTTTAGCGGGGGCCCCGTTGTCCCGCCCGATTGGCCTGGGGATCTATGGCGGGGCGGAGAAAGTAAGGAGCGAATTTGATTGGCTTTTCAGAACCGTCCGTGCTTCTCGAGGTGAGCGACCGAAACCAACGCTCGGTGAGAAGGGACACCCACGGTAGATCTCGGTGTATTCTATGGTGGTAAGAACGGAAGACAGTGTCCGAAGATCAGCCGGACCCACGCATTAGCCGCACGTCACATGGCGATAAGAGCTAGCCGGCAAGGTAGTTGCCCGATAAGCCTGGGACCTTCTTTCCTCATGTCGCAAGGCAGCTCAGCTCACGACGACGACGAGATCGCCACAACTTACGACTTTCACGACAAAGGCAGCTTTTTACCTGACACCAGAACCGTTGTCGCCGATCCCCCAACCCCTCAACAACAGCAAACATGGACCCGGGCCGCAGAGCCATGCTCTCAGGGCGTAGATCACCTAGCCGCAGAGATCGCGAAAGAGACAGAGACATAGCCTCTCCACGACGCGACCCGAATAATCGCATCACCAAACCCTCGAACCCTCCCCCTTCTTCGAGGCCACGTCAGAACAACAACTCGAGCTATATGACGCAGGATGAGCAGTCTAGACAGTTTGTCGCCGATGAGGACAAGTTCGTTCTGAAACAAGCCAAGAAGAAGGCTGATATTCGAGTTCGGGAAGGCCGAGCCAAGCCTATTGATCTCCTGGCCTTCAATCTGCGCTTCATCGACGACGAACGGGACGTCTTCGACGACGACGATGCCGACTTGCACCTCAATGTGGCCTCTCCTGAGGAGGTCCTGCAGGGGCTCGACGAATCACAGCTGCGAGACCTGGATTCTGACATCACATCCTACCACACCCTCGAGCAAAACGACCGCAACCGCGACTACTGGAAGTCGTTGCAAACCATCTGTGCCGACAGGCGGCAGAAGCTGAAACCGCAAGGCCCAGACGCTCGGGTCGTGAGCACAGTATCCGAAGATGTCGACAAGATCCTGCGCCCCAAGACGTACGAGCAGCTCGAGGCACTCGAATCGCAGATCAAGGCAAAGCTCCGCTCCAACGACGATATCGATGTCGATTATTGGGAGCAGCTTCTCCGCAGTCTGCTGGTGTGGAAGGCTAAGGCCAAGCTGAGAAAGGTGTCCGAAGCAATCAACGACAGCAAAGCCGCACTGCTTAAGCTGCAGGATCCGGAAAAGGCAAAGGCACTAGGCCACCACCAAGCCAACCATGCCGATTCTATTTCGGGCCTTGCAGCAGTCAGGAACCTGTCATCTGAACCAGGCAGGACAGAAACAAAGACGGTACCTGTTTCAAGTGCGCCTCCAGGAACAGCTCGATTCGCTCAGACGGGCAACGAAGACTTTTCCCAGGCTACCAAAGCTCTATACGACCGCGAGGTCGCGCGTGGCATTGGTGAAGACGAGGAGATATTCACCGCAGAAGAGACCGTTGCAAGTGGTTCGAAACCTCAATGGGCTGATAAGCATCGGCCACGAAAGCCGAGATACTTCAACCGCGTTCAGATGGGCTACGAATGGAACAAGTACAACCAGACACATTACGACCACGACAACCCGCCCCCAAAAGTCGTCCAGGGCTACAAGTTCAACATCTTCTATCCCGAACTTATTGACAAGACCAAGGCGCCCACGTTCAAGATCATTCGAGAACATGGCAGGAAAAGGGGAGAGTCTTTTGCCGCAGCAGGGGAGGAAGATACATGCCTCATCCGATTCATCGCAGGTCCACCATACGAAGACATTGCCTTCAGAATCGTAGACCGCGAGTGGGATTACAGTGCGAAGAAGGATCGCGGCTTCAAAAGTTCCTTCGATAAGGTATGTTTTGTGGCGTTTTCTACACCGTCTTCACGTGGCCCTTTTCATCTGCATCTTGTCTTGTTTTTCTCTCTCCCCCTTCTCATAGTGCTCGTGGCGGAGTCGACGCGGTGCATATGCACGGAGAGCACAAGAATCACTCAAGGGGGGAGAACTGCAAAGAGCAACGCCCGCACAACTGTGCCCCTTACCCTTCTCTCTTTTCCTCGTTTCCCCAATCTGCTGTCATGTCGAAAGGAACCGACCCTCCATGAGACCTTTCTCCAATGCCGAGACAGGCGGCCCACGAGGAAATGAGGGGAGACAGACAGCCTTCGCTTTCCGCCAGACCACAGACTCTGCCATCCTTCCCTTGCCCAACCGCCTACACGCGCGCCTCTGGACATGTTCTCCTGTTTTTCTGTCATATTACTTGTCACCAGCCACCCTTGTCATGGCGTTGAGCTAATCTTATACTCCCTGCAGGGTATCCTGCAACTGCACTTTCAATTCAAAAAGGTAAGGAACAAGTCCCACTCCCACGTTTGATTCTCTCTGATTGCAACCATACTGACATGATGCCCCCCCTTCCGCAGATCTACTACCGGAAGTAATTGCCCCCAGAATCGGGCTGGGATTGGAAAGGAGGCTCGCTCGTATTGTCACGATGCATCTACGATGTCACGATGTGACAGAATCAACCGGGTGGGCGGATATATCGGGACAACATTGGGTGCTGGGAGGTTGTTTTGTTTTGATCTGGCCAGAAGTCAGGACAGATCTGTATCTGCTCTCCATCTTCGAATCCCGTCCGCCTCAACTTTTTCTCCCGCTCGCTCGCTCGCCGGCCGCTCTCACTTTCGCTGGTACCACGTACATTTCTCTCCTCTTTTTTTCCCCCTCCACCGTTCGGATCATACACCCCCCGACGACCGCAACAGACCGCCGCTGGCCGCGGGCCGACCTCCTGGGAAGACAGGAGAATGAGGCACAATCACACAGACGACCATAGCCTTCGCCTGCAACTAATCAATTACCTCCTTTCCATCTTCTCGTGCAACTGTTGGTAGTTGATACCAGGACACCAAGGCATCAAGGCGCCGGACGGGGCGCCAGGGCAACCCTTTTCGGACTCTTGCTGTACCTTTACTTGGAATAGCTGCCTGGCCCCCACGACGCTAAGTGCTGCCGACCCCGGACGACTGACATGAATCTAAGCGGACTTGTATGAAGCTATCCTGACCAGAGTCCGAGTACAATGGCTGCAGCTACTTGCTGATCTCCACGCCACCGCAGACGAATCCACCCACCACCCTGCCACGCCTACCCTCTCATCTCTGGGCTGGCGATCCATCCCCCTTCACCGACTTGGCCGTTGGGTGTTGTCGGTGGAAGACGGGGCACTATGACGAGCAGCAGAGTCCCTGGGTGCTACTGACCTAGAACGATCGGTCTTCCCCGTGATGCACAGATGAAGAGGCAAAGAAACCCGAAACACCACTCTTGAGCAAGCGGCCACATTTCGGCATAGGCGGGATTGAATCTCCACCTTGACTACATGATTTCCCTGTTCTAAATCCGTGTCCACAACGTTGAGTGTTGGGGAGGACCGTAAACTTTCTAGAATTCGAAAATGATCTACGTCCCCGCGGGCTGGCATCAAGAGACCGATCTTCCGCCTGCCTTGCAACTCTCTTACACTGGTACGAGCCAGGACTTTGAGGCAGCGCTCGTGGGGACGGCAGCAGGTGATTGGTCTTCTCGCCAAAGTCGATGCATGCGGCCGGTGTACCTGCTGCTGGTGTCCGGATAGCTGTTGTTCTGCCCCAGATGCGTCCTCTCAGCTCGATGATTGACTGGTTGGTTGTCAAAGCTGGCTGGCGGGCCTCACTCCTACCATCAGAATGACAGGCGTACATGGTCTGTACATCTCTTGTCGAGCTGTACCTGGTACAATATGCCCCGCCACGACCTGCTACCCACATCGACCTGGCTGTGGATGTGTGCAACAAGCTCTTATTCTCTCTCGTCTCCTCTCGCGATCTCGCCTGGCGTCGAGGTAGCCTCAGGCTTAGAGCGTGTACCATGCCAGTATCCTGCCGTTGACCTCCCACACTCCCCCCCTCTCCATCCGCGTCCCGTATGGGGCGATGGACCTGGGCTGTCATGGCCGCCATGGCCGTCCCGTGTGGTCACTGGGCCAGAGGTCCGCTCCTGCTATCAAACCATGGTTGCACGCAGACGACCTGGATCATGGGTCGACGGCTCTTAACGAATAGGCACCAGGTCGGTGGCGTTGTTAGTTCCAACGGCTTTTGCTCTACCTTCGGGGTAGAGACCACATGGAGACGAGGGAGGAGAGAGAAAGGTAATCCAAAGAAATAAACGCCCTTGGAGGCTTCCCGTACCGCCCAGTCCAGCTCCCGCTGTCCTCCACCCCTCACACCTTTTTCTTTGGGCAACAGGGCATCCGCCAATTCAGACTTAGTAACCTGGTCCCTTCATGAGGATGCAGAAGGGGACGCCATTTCCGACATTCCTTCAATCAGCATTTCAGAATAGAATTTCCATGATCCCGGTCGGTTCTTGCACTTGCCCCGGACGGAGCTGATGGCAGAAGCCACATCCAAGCCTCCATCTGTTTCCGTTTGCGTCCGGCCTTGGAGAATAGAGGCTGCAACGGATCTGTGCATGCAGTTGAGAGGTTGCCGCAGACGTGGATGGGGTCCTCCATCTAGTTGACACACGCACATACTAAGGCAAAGACAGAGAGGGACGAGCAGGCGGCAGAGAGAGAGTAAAGGAGACTGGAGGGCGCGCAGACCAGCAATCGCGCATACAGAAGAACATCAGACAGACGCATATACGCACACAAGCATATACACAACAAGCAGACAGACAGACACACACACACACACACACGCACACACACACACACACACACATACCTATACGCACACACGCACACACGCACACATGGCGCCGCCGCGGCTGCGGGAAGACAACGCTAAAACAAGGGCCAAGCAATGAGCTGGCACATGTTGCCCTCTCTCATTCTCACTCACTCTCTTCCTCTCTCTCTCTCCCGATATCCACATGGCCAATGTTACGCTGACACCCCATGCAACCCATGTCACTTCTATCGCCAGTCCACACACCCCCATCTTGCATCCTTACCCCGGTCCTGCGCCTCTCTGGCTGGCTCATCCCAGATCCTGTACGTATCTTCTTGTACGTACTCAAGAAGACCAAATTGGGCGACATACGTCTGTCTGTTCCTTGCACTACCTTCACAACGCTCTACTACCAACATGGGAACATCTGGAAGATAGGAAGGGCCTCTCTCTCTCTCTTGTTAGATCACAACGGGGTCGACCCCTTGCTGGAAACACCTTCAATAGCCATCTGTGCTTTTTCGGTATTGAACCAACATCATTGAAGTCTCCTCATTAATAACCTCTCGTGTCTCCTCTCACTTTCTCGAGACGCCTTCCTGAGACGGTCTTTTATTCGATATCAAGCTCATCATCATTAACCTGTTGTCTCACCTCGACCATTATTAAACTTTGACTCCTCCTCTCCCCCACCCTTCCTTCATCCTTACAACATCATCTTCAAGTGGCGTCTGTGACATCTTGATCTCTCCCTCGTTTTGAAACCTCTTTCCGCGCAAACTTCTTCCCAACTTGTTTCAGACAGCGTTACCTGATTCCCATTCTCCTCCTCCACACAGTCACACTGTTCACCGCATCATGACGGCAAAGAACTCACCTCAACACAACATGCGCGCTACCCTGACCCATCAACAACAGAGCAATAGCACACAGTCTTCAACCGCCTTGGCCGTCAGGACGAACGTGGTGGAAACATACAACACCATGGCCCCCGAACAGCAGCCACAACAACAACAACTTCAGCAACGATCTTTCACCGTCCAAGATCCTCAACCATACTACACACAGCTCACCGCCGTCAGCCAACATCAATATCCGTCGCCAGTCATGAACCAGACTACCTGGTCCTCGCCACAGTCCATGTCTACAGATGAATTTGACAACTACTCATATCGCGGCCAGGCCGTTCAGTCGGCATACAACCCAGCCTCTCTCTCACCGAGAAGCTGGTCCTCGTCAACCCAGACTCCCCCACCGGTGCAAGCCTCCCAGTACGAGTTGCCCATTCGTTCTCAGGAACCAGCCTTTGGGCTTGCCAACGACCACTTGACAATGTCGCCAGAGACGCTGCGCGGAACAGATCTGAACGTCTCTCTTCACTACAGTAACAGCGGCTATCCCGACGGCTTTGAGCAGCGCCATTTTGATCCCGAGCCCTTGCAGCGAACTCTAGAGAGCGATAGAGTTCACTACGCATCTTCGCCAGGTACCGACGCTCCTGGGTCACCCTACGGCGGCTCTCCGACCTCATTCCACGTTGGCGACTTGCCCGATGTCATCCCGGACCTCGGTAGCCACAGTCCTTCTACCAAGGCCAACCCCCAGCCAGATGCTGCCAACAACAACAACGGCGAGGGTCCGCCTTACGCCAAACTCATCCACAGAGCCCTCAAGAACGCACCAGACCACTCCATGACTCTGCAGGAGCTCTACAAGTGGTTCAGAGACAACACCAACAAGCCTCAGAGGACCGAGAAGAACGGGTGGCAGAACAGCATCCGCCACAACCTCAGCATGAACGACGTAAGTATCTTTGCCTGTTCGCTCGCCCCACGTCACTCCAGTAGGATCATTATCCTGCCCAAGAAGGCCCCATGCATGTTATGCTTGGATTTCAACCCCCCTGGCTAGTGAAGCATTTGCATCTTGCATAACCTTAACCGACGAGCCTCTCTTTGTCCCCCACCTTAGCATAATGATCCTGTTCGCTAACACAACAACCTTCATCTAGGCGTTTCAGAGAAGAGAGAAGGAGATCTTCACGCAACCAGACGGCCACACGTCTAACGAGAAGCGCGTGTCTGAGTGGTATCTCAACCCCAAGTACCTTGATGACATCCTGCCGACCACGCACTTCCGTGATGGCAACCGCGGCGGCACCTCGCGCAGCCTCCTCGGTCGCCGTGCCTGCAACGCCGCCGCCGCCAACGCCAACGCGCTCGGCGGCGGTCCCATTAGCATGGGAAGACATAACAGCCCTCCCCGCTCTTCCACCATCACGCACTACCCGAATCCCGACTATCCCAACCGTTCCATGCCCGGCCGCGCCATTTCTGGACGCCGTGGAGGCCGCGCCACGACAAACTCCCGCAACGCAAGGCGCCAACGATCCCAGACCGGGTCCATGAGCCCCGTCATGGCCTCGCAACATCACCACCAGCACCACCACCATCAGCAGCAGCTTCCTCCGCACATGCAGATGCACGAGGAAATGATGAGACGGAGCCAGGTGGCCAACGAGCAGTGTTTCCAACAGCAGCAGCAGCAGCGCGAGATTCAAGCTCGCGGCGGTCCTCTCAACCTCAGCCCCATGTCTCCAACAGGAACCGTCCTTATTAGCAGCACGCCCGGCGGCGGCAACATCACAACTCCCACCAGCGCTCCGGGGTCCTTCATGGCCGCAGCCCAGCCCTACCAGTTCCAGGGCTATGCCATGGCTGATGTCTCTGGAGTGTACAGCCCTTCGACACCCACCGACGGTGCCATCTATGGATGGGGCTCCAACGCCCAATTGTGAGCACTATTGGCATATCACATCTCATGTCTTGGGACGGGTTCGTGCGGCTGGTTTGGTGTGGCTCTTGTGGTGTGTGTGTGCTTCGTCTTTGGGGCGGTCTGTAACTCTTTTCTTTCCTCTATCTTATTTTTCAACAACGGCGTTTACCGGAGGGTACCGATTGTTTTCCCCTTCCCTCTACTAGAAGCGTAGAGCGAGTTTGGGTGGTCATGGGTGGGTGGCTTTCTTTCCCGCTTTTCCGCCTTTTAGGGCGATGATGTATTATTTTACGGCTGGTTGGACGGTCGCGGGAAGTCAAAAAAAAAGTCTCCGCCTCTGGATGTCAAGGGTCAGAAGAGGGCAACAAAAAACCAAAAAGACATGAAGATCAGTTCCCAAGAGGAATAGAGCTTCCAGTTATTTCTTTACCCCATCACAGCCTCTTCCGTCTCCTCTCTCGGTCTCGATTTGGTCTGCTCACGCCTATCTCCATTTCTCACGAATACTTTCGCCTGTTCTGTTGGGACGGGAAATCAACAACGAGGTCTTGCGGCGGAGTATTCCGCCTGGTTGGACAGGACATCACGAGAGCGGTCCGGTTATCTTAGCTAACTGTTCTCGGGGGCCCCGGCCCCGGTCGCTCCTCTCTCTCTCTCTCTTTTTCTCTCCCTCCCCCGACCCCTGTTCTCTCCTACGCCTTTCTTTCCGCCAAGATCTGGCGCTCCGGGGACATGTTCGGATGAGGGTCGACGACGCATATCGGGGGCAGAGAAAAGGGCCAACCCAGGGGACGGGGATCTGTGTCTTGAAATCCGCTCGACGATGAGATGGGGGGCAGGACATGGGTGCTTGCGGCGTGGGCTGTGGAGAACAATTCTCTCTCGATGCTGTCTCTCTTCCTCTCTCTCCTCCCAACACCTACCACACCCACTACACCTGGCAGCACACACATACACACAGACATAAGCACGCACCCCCCCCTCGTCCCTTGCCCTCCCACACAGAATTTCCATACACCCACGCCCCCCTCATCCTGCTCGGATTTGAAGGGTACAGTGCCCGTCTTTGACACCTGCAGGGTTCGAGACTCGTTGGTGCTCTTCACTGCTACCAGTCTTTCTTTTTCTCCTTCTCACTGTCTTTTCGGTGTTCTGCTTGCCAGGTGTGTGTGTGGTGCCAGACAGTGAGTGGTGGTGCGGCGGCGCGGAGCGTCTTGGGTGTTGTAGGCTACCCTTCCCTCTCTGTTGGAAGCAGTAGCCGCGAACCAAGTTGAGAGGGTAGGAAAAAGCAATTCTGAACATACGGTCAGGATCAGGGTGCGAGTGAGAGAGAGAAGGGGGAATGCGACGAGACGAGAGGAAGCAGAACGCGAGAGGAGAGGAGGGAAGAGAAGAGAGTGGCGAATGTCTGCCTACCCAACTTGCAACTCCCGCTTGTCTCTTTTCTTTTTTCCTCTCTACTCCCTCGAGTTCTCGACAGGTGTTGGTTCCACTTTTCTCTTTCATTACCTTACGGCACAGGACAGGACAGGACACACAGCGACACGATATGACGGTATGCGGAATTAGGGAACAACAAGGATATTCAGGAAACGACCAAGTTTCTGTTTGCTCTGCATTTTTTATCTGCCTTTTTCTTTTCTTGTCGCCTTTTCTCTTTACATTCACGAACCGAGGCGGCATCGATGCAAAAAGTATTTCAACCAATATCTCACGACAACGACAACCATCATCTTTACCCTGGGCCAGGCAAATCGTCGACGAAAAAAGAAACATCAACGTCCAACCAAACAATCATCATCATCATCATCATCATCATCATCGATATCATCGATATCATCATTATGATCATAGAAGCGCGTGCAGCCGCTGCTGCAAAATACCCCTATGTTTCGCCAATGCCTAAGTAGTTTTGTTTCCCTTGTTTGCAGTTTCCTGGTTTTTAAGTTTTGCGGTTCGGAACTAGTTTGCTTGTTAGCCTTTATGCCAGTTTTGCATTTACCTCGAGATAGGGTTTCACAAGCAGAATAGCTTGATGAGTCAGTATGAATTTTGTCAAGGTGGACAGTGTCTTGATATCTAGAAGGGACAAGAGAATTAATGTAGTGTGGCTTTATGATTTGAATTATGAGTATCATGATTATCTTTTTTCAGAAGTGCAATAAACCATCTTCATTTTATTATGGTGATAAAACCCTTATGACGACGATGAGTGGTGATGATGCATGCATGCGCTCATTGTCGAGCTAAGAGGATCCTCCTCTCTGCTTGAGTCTCCAGTCTGTCGGGCATTTCGCTGTTGCATCCAAGATCACAAACCCGCACGTCAACCTAAACTCTCTCACTCTCACTCCCCTCTCTCCCCAACTCCCTCCCACCCTCCATCATCCCCGTTCCCCTCCTTTCGTGCCATCTCATCTCAATTGGGGATGTTTAATTTACCAGTTCATCGGAAAGGAAAAAAAAAGGAAAAAAATATCACAAGGAAGCTTGGAGCCTTGGGAGTCTCGAGAACAGAGAGAGCGAAAGCCCTCGAAGGCCAGCATTTGGCGGCCGCCCACAATTCACACCTGGTCTACGAAGTACTTCTCTCTCTCACACCCCCCCTCGGCTCCGACACCCTGGTCACCTCACCAATGAAAGTGGAGCAGTGGGCAGCGACCAAGGGGGGGTGGTTTCCGAGAAAATCTGCCCGCGTGGGACCCTGTTTGGGGGTGGTGCGTGGATAGAGATAGACTTTCGGGGAGCAGGACGGTAGCAGACGGACGATCGATCAAGCGACTTTGCTTGTTCCTTGCTTCATCTCTGGTTATTGGTCACTCTGGTCCTTGAGAGAAGCGCACGGACGATGGGTGATCGTACGTAGAAAGATAGCCAGGGGTGAAGTCCAAGAGGGTGGTGGTGACTGGCCCGTCACTGGTCGACTTGTATGTGCAGATGGCGGCTGGAGGTAAGAGGAAGAAAGGTCGCCCAGGGTCAGGGGAAGGGTAGATCGTTGTTCGTCGAGGACAGGAACAAAGAATGTGTCCGCAGACAGCGTACAGAAACTGACAGCGTACAGACTTATACAGAAGCGTGTGCCATCTCCCGTCTCTGTGGCTGGGCAGGCCAACCTGCGGGGGCGTGGAAGGTATCCCGTACTTCATAGGTAAGTACAGTCCTGTGTAAGTCTACGCAGTAAAAGAACCAGGGGAGGTGGCCTGCGCAGGGCCAGAGAAAGATCATTCAAGGGGACAATTTGTAGCAAAGTCGATGAATGCCCATGATCAACTCCAGACTACCAGGCGCAGTCGCCCAATGTGGAGTAAAAAATGGTGATGGCAATGCCAGACTTGGTGAAATGCCAACCTACTCATCGAGACCATAGCAATCTAGAGTGGGCGGGTAGGTGGAGTCCCAATCTTGGAGGTCGGACGATGAGCGCTCCCGTCAGCCATGGCGTTCGGTCTAGACCCGGAAGCTTTGTGGGTTCACGGAAGCCTCAATAGAGCAGGGAATAGTTTGACCGTCGGAGTCGGATGGCACAGGTAAGGTAAGGTAAGATAGGTAAAGTAGGTAAGGTGAGGTGAGCCTGGTAAGTCAAGGAAAGCGTACCCAGCTGCGGGTCCCGTCAGACCTAGCCGTTGAATGAGACGACGGAATCGTCACAAAGCTTCTATTTCCTCCTCATCTCTCGCGCTAGGTCACTCGCCAGCCTTCAAACTCTTCTCTCAGATCCCTGACCTTGATTAGGTGACTGAAGCCAGACAGGCGGGAAGGCCTCCTCACTCCTCGGACACAGGATTTGAGATGAAGAGATGCCATGGAACGAACGCACCGGGGGCGTGGGCAGTCTGCTACAAAGAACACACCGGGTTTCCTTGAACGTCGCGGGAACATGGAGAAGAGCAAGCCCCGAGTGTTGGGGATCGCCAGGATGGAGCTTGATGTGCCTGCCGCAGCGCCGCGCTCCAAAGCCATGCGTGGCCATGCGGCCGTGGCATTGGATATCTCACAATCTACTCCCTTCGCCCTGTGAGGTCGGAGATCAGAACCTCGCAAAACGCAGCCCTCATTGCATCAGGACACGCTAGAACTAGACGGGCAGACAGTGATCAGGGTAAGCGATGAGACATGATAGGTCCTGTAGACGACGACAACGACAGTCACCCCGGGTCAGATCGGCTTGGACTACTGGGCGGCAACGCTCGGCGGCGGAGAAGGCGGCGACAAGGATATCGTCCACGTCAGGCTATCAGCGGTGAATGTAGGTAGCGTGGTAGCACACCCCTCTGAGGGGAAAGAGTTCTTCAGGGCCCAACGTCGCGTCAATTTGTCAAATGTCTGCCGCTTTCTTTTTCCTTGTAGCATTGTCAACCCGTCTGCGTCTCCCGCATGTCGCATCGCGGGGGTGGAGAGGAGGCCGACGAGAGGATGGCTCCATAGTCTCTTTGTCGAGATGAGGGCCATCTCCCTTCCACGCACGCCCGATGGAGAAGCAACTCCTGCGGGACGTCTTTTGCTTTCCTCCTTTATCTGCAGCACATCGCAAGGAGATGGGTATGATAGACGCTTGAGTGTAACAGGACTAGCCGCTCTGCGACCCGACTTCCGCGAGACCGCGTATAACCCTGCCGGGGATTTTTGCCATGCAGCAATGGCGAATGACTGGCGAACCACTTGTCCTGCCGCGCCCTGGATGAACGTCATGCTTGTCCGCAGAGCCTGTCATTGATGGGTGATAAGAGGATTTTGACTCTCGTCCGTTTCCCTATCATTGGTTACCGAGCCCTCGGGTCGAGACTAGGGACTGATGGGCGTCTTGGTCCTGGTACATGGCGTCTCCTAACCCGGAGTTCTGCTTGTTAATCCCGGACTTCTGCTCGTTCGAGGTGGATTCTAGGTGGCAGGTGTGGCCATGCCAAGGTCCTGGGATGAACAGGAACCATACTAGCATAATTAGCTTGCCCATGGACCATGGAGCAGGTTGTTGGACTCGAGACGAGATTGCTTGGGTCCTACTGCCCTCTCTTGGTAAATGGT